AATAGTTAATATTTAATACTCCCCTTACTGTATCTGACATTTGTTGACCTCTTATAAACCCACATTGATCATTCTTTATATATCTATAAATTTATTCAATCTGTTTACCAATATAGCTGCAAAAATCTTAGCATCTTGATTAATAAGAGATATCGGTCTATAAGATCCAGGGTTTGTAAGGTCTTTATTAGGATTTGCTATTAATTCTATCATGGATTGTTTCCAAGAGCTTGGAATTGTTTCCCCTTCCATTATTTTATTAAACATCATTTTCATCCTAGGCACAAGTACTTTTTTAAATTTTTTGTAATATTCAGTGCCCAATCCATCAGATCCTGGTGCTTTACCTATTTTTAATTTATTAATAACTTCCAATAGCTCTTCTTCTTCTCTTTGAGTTTCCATAATTTCTTTATCCTCTTCTCTAAGTTTACAATTTAGAATCTTTTCATTATGTATCTGACTTTCTTTCAAACCTATTTCATTTCCCATATATAACTTTTCAAAAAAACCTTTGAAAAAGTAAATGTTTCTCTTTCATCTTATTACATCTTTCCTCTTTTGCATTCTTCATTACTTCAATTAAACTTTTTGCCTTTTTAACTTGTGTGGCTCTGACCAGCATTTTAGAATTTTTATTACTACTTTCATAAAATTCTCTTCTCAAATAAATTAAATTTCTTTGAACTTGTTCTATTTCAGTATTATGTAATTCTTGCCTTTTAGTTATTAATTCTAACATAATTTTGTTTTCTCTCCTTTTGATATCCTTTTTCTCTTATTCTTTAATGTGCTCTTCTAACCTTGTTATATGTTGCTCTTTTTGTTTTTTATATTATATGAATATTTTATTCCCAACCCTCTTACCACTGCTTTCATTTTATCCCATATTAAACTTATATTACTACCTCCTTTTTCATTTATTTCCCATATTTCTTTTAATTCTTTTTCCATTTTTTCTAAGATCTTCTCTTGTATAAAAATCCTTAGATCTATTCTCCACCTGTATACCTGTTTATAATCACAATCTATTTCCATTTCAATTGTTATCATTGCACGGTCTTACATTTTAATTACTTTTATATCTGCATTTATTACCTTAGACATTATGTCTGGTGTTACAAATATATAGTCTATTCTTGTAAAGTTTTTATGTCTATTTGAATAAAATGCAAAGCTTTTCTGTTTACCATGTAATTCTCTCCAAACATCTTTCATCTAGTTTATTAATAAATCCACTTAAATCTGTGTCATTATATTTTATATCTACCTTTGATGGGTTGGATTTGTCTTTTTCTTTTATCTATAACCATATTATAATCAGCCGGCATTATCACACATCCTCTTTTTATTTCTTCTATTTCTTTATACACTTAATCATAAAACTTCCTTAGATTTATATTAGGTGCGTATATGTTAGCTAAAGTCACCTTTGTCCATAAATCTCCCCAAATGATCTCTTTTTATAGCTTTTGTTTTAAATTCACATCTTTTGGCAAATATAATTGCTACCCCTCTTGATGTGCCATATGATTTTTTGTATACATCTGCCCAGTATAATTTTAATTCATTCACTCCAACAAAAACTTAACAAAAACACAATTATTCTTACCCTTGCCCCCACCATATTCCCCACCACATTCATTTATGAAAGCTCTCCTACCCATCTTCCGGAGTGTCTCTTCTCCCAGCTGAAGTCTTCCAGGTGTGGAGGGGAGAGGGGCCACCCCCATATGGACCCCAGACACTCTCTCCACCCTCTCCGACCATCTATACCCTTTTTATTCTATACTCAATAGTACAGTATTTCTATGCTCAAATTTCTATTATAGCAATACTTATTATTTGAGAAACATTCAATAACAACCACAACGCTACCAACTACAATATATTTTCTATATCTATTACATATAAATCTTCTTATCTCTTCTTGCTTCTTTCTTCTGTCTCTTCTCTTTTCTATGTTTTTACAGAGAATCTGAACCTCCTGCTACAATATCCAATTTCTCTTCCTCTGGCTGATGTTCTTTCTTCGTCTCTGTCATGCTTGAAAATACAGACATATCCATTAATTTCTGCATTTGTGCTGCATATTCATCATCATCGATAATTCCAAGCTCCTTTAATAACTTCAGAGCTTCCTCCTGTGTATCAACTCTGTAATATTTTCCATTATATGAAAACCTAAAAAAAAAAAAAAATCGGAAATCCCCAGCTATATTTAATGGAGTTCTTCTTTAATATTTGACAAACTTGGAACATATCTCTCCTCCATTGCAAAGTCTCAGTACATAAACCAGGAAACACTTGAATCTGGTAACGTTTGAGCATGATTGATGTCATATTCTGTAATTTCCATCTCAATTGTTCTTTTTCACATATGATGGAAATCAAACTACAATGTCTCTTGGTGTTTTAGTTCCTGCTCTTCTTGGGCCAACTCTACATATTGCATTAGTATCTTATTTTGTGAAAGAGACATCTGGAAGAATAGATTTAACCCAATCCAATATTAATTGAATCAATTTATCTTCATTCTCATTCCCATCCTCTGGATATCCTTTAAGGCGTAAATTTCATCATTGTCTGTCCCAGATCTCAATCACACTTTTAGAGACCTGATCTATCTTGGTAATATGAATTTTTAACTTATTATCTTGTTCTTCCATCTGAATTTTCACTTCTGTGATTGTTTGTTTATTCTCTTGATTTTGCTTAGTTAAATCTTTTATTCTTTCACCCATATTATCTATTTTGACATTTAATTTCTTCATATCCTCTTTCATATCTGTCTTCATTTTTCTGAATTCCTGTAAAAGTATATCAAGCTTATCTGGTTGTGTTGATGATTGAGATGCTGGTAAAGTCATTGATTTTTCTGGTGACAATCTCTTTCTCCCATTCATTTCACAGCTTTACTCTTTTCAGACGCAAATCTGATGGGTGAAGTTTATGAGAAAGGCCTTGTTTCGCTTTAGATCTTTGCCAGACACTTTCTGCACTCTTGCTATGTTTTGACATCCAGCTACAGAAAAAGTCTTAAATTCATACTAACAGTTTTTTTTAATGATCCACAGTTGTTATTTAGCATCCAACTAGGAGAAGAGAACTCTGAATTTAGTAATAACTTATTTACAGATCACAATTGCAATTTAACTCAATCAGCATGTAGATCTCTTGATTTTCAACAGCTGCAATTTAACATCTAGCCAGCAGATGGAGCGCAAGGATTGCTATTTGCAAAATATAGTCTGCATATTCTCAATCCATCACTTCCTCTTTTCTTTGTTTTCGTTATCTCTGTAACAGCAAAATAACACAGAGAAGCTAATCCTGGGACATTAACTAACCTTAATATACATTCCTTCAGGCTCTGTCCCAGTATTTTCTTTTTCAGCACCTTCTGGGCTTTCTAGCTGCGAGAAAGGAGAGGGAGAGTCTCGTCCGTTAATTATCTCTTCATAGAGCTTTTAAACTCTTTTCTCTTATCAACCACTCAAAAACCGACCCTCTCTCCTTTTTCCCTTCTGTTCTTTAAGCTGCTTTTAAACTTTTAAAGTAAACAGCCGAGATACAAGCTTACTATGGACGCATTCCAGCAGTTTCAGATTATCCAACAGGCTCTTTGCAGGCCTCACAAACCATCTCTGTGTTTCAGATCTTCCCAGGAGAGAGACAAAGGAATTAACCCACGTTTCATGTGTTTCTCAGTATTTCTTGATCTTAACTTGAGTATATTTTTTCTGATGGTCAGGAGGAGTAAGAATTCAGAGTCCGGAGTCCATCCAAGCTAGCTCCATCCCCACCAGAGTTCAGTTGAATTGATGGTGCAAATATTCATTCCATTCAAACACATTCTTCATGGTTGTACTCTGCGTAACAGCTTTGCATCTCCTTCAGTTCTGGATGCTCATCTTAATGCTGGAGAAAATGCGTTTCTTTTAGTGAGTTTGATTTGGTTTTCATTCCTTTCCCTGGGCCTGCCAGTTCAACGCTTCACTTGGCGCAGAACACAATCCATCAACATCCTCCTTACTGAAAGAGTCTGGACGCAACTGGGTTTATCAGTCATCACACCTCTAACCCCCGTACCCTGAAGCCCCATTATGAGCATAGAACTGAGCAATGAAACAACACAGGGGTGCTCATTTGAACTGAGGGTAAGCTTGCGTTTTCCATTTAACGTGTTAGCTGCACTACTCTGACAAGCACCTTACCCCATTCATGATTAAGAATGCTCTGAAAAATGTAACACTAAAGACAATGTTTTTGTTATTGTTTTCCTTCCTGGAATTCCGGGAGTTCAATTGAATTGATGGCACAGACAGACATTCCATTCAACCACGTTCTTCATGGTTGTACTCTGCATAAGAGCTTTGCAGCTCCCTCAGTTCAGGACACTCATCTTAATGCAGAAGAAAACATATCTCTTTTAGTGAGCTTGATTTGACTTTCATTCCTGTCACTGGGGCCTTTCAGTTCAATGCTTTACTTGGCACAGAACACAATCTGTCAACATCCTCCTTACTGAAAGAGTCTGGACACGAAAGGCTGATGCCACTGGAGCAACTCCAGCCTGAACAGGAAACACTAGAAAGCAGATTGTACAAGCTGAAATGCTTGCACAAGGCTTGTTGTGTCCTTACCAAGGCCAATAAACATATAAAACGTTATGAGAAATTAATCTGGTAAGAAAACTGTCCAGTGAATCAACAGCAGCAAACATGGGGAACATGGATGGGTTCACACACGCGTATTTATCACCAGATGACTGTGGCCTGTGACAAGCATGTGTCAGTGAGCCATCATGGGTCCCACAGTGCAGATAGAATATTCTGTCATTGTCTCAAATGTAATACTTTCCAAGGGAGTCACTTCATACTTTCAGCTGCCACTCATCATATTGCATACACATGGAACCAGCTCTTTCAGAGACAGCTTTGGGATAATCATTAGAGATAGACTGAAAATTACAGAAAACGAAATGCACTGTTGCCAAGCACTGTTGCAGAAGAGCTTTATTTTCTGATGTTCTCCCTTCTAACTTGGAAAAAGCAATGTGTGCTTTAGAAAAGGAGATAAGGACTACCAGTCAAGATACTTATCTTTGGACAGCAACATTAAAGATGGAGGAAAGGGAGGCTGCCATAAAAAGTAAACATTGTCCAACTTAGTGCACATAAAGAGTTTCAGGAATGTTGCATTATTGAAATAAACACATAAGAATGTATAAAGCTATTCTTTAGCAAGTGCTTCAACAAAATGTGCACATATATGCATCCCAGCAGACTGCATGATGATCCCTGGAGGAAGGAGTGGAGCGCACCAGCAGAGAGGAATTCGGTGGTGGTGGTGACGGGGTTCCCTTGTGGGGGTGCTGCAGTGAAGTCTTAGTCAGGCATGGACTTTTCTGCACTCCTGCCATAAAGGAAAAATCAACATAATTGGAAGCAACACTAATACAACTCATTCCAGAAGGCTGAAGCCTTCAGCTTCCCTGAAACACAGAAAATAGCTACAGAAGTCCATCTTGAATTAAAGGGTAATGCACAAACAACAAAAACAAAATCTTTTCACACAATAAATAAAGTCAGTAATATAAAAAGGAAAGGAGAAGCAGTAGTGCATATAAAGCATTAGCTTTCAAAGGACCAGGGGACAAGGGATCACTGGAATTTTCCCTGGAATGCAAGAGACAGATCAGTTTATGAGTCAGAAGATGGCGGAGCATCACTTGTGACAGTCGCCGTCACTTGCTAAGACTGACAGTAGTCAAAAAACATGGCTGGACAAATAAGCACAAACGGGGAGATGAAAGCAGCACCTTATTGCAGGGACTCTACCAGGAGTGCTTTCCCCTCTTTGAGAAGGTGCCCTGGGCCTCTGGCCGAGGGCATGTTGCAGAGCCTGAGCCAGAGTGACTGCTGCGTGTCCCTCCAGGGGCTGCCTCCGCTTCAGGGACAGGGAATACAGTGTTTAAGGCACAAAGACAATGGTGACATGCAAGCCCAATGCACGTGTCTCAGGGCAACCTGACAAGAGGCCTTGCAGAGGAGGAATCCAAGGGATTTACAGAGGAGCATTCACACAGACATCTCTGGAGCCTCCCAAGCAGCTGCCAGGCCTCTGCATCACTGGTCTGGAGGGAGGGTGCTCCTGCAAGCAAAGGCAACTGCCCTGCCAGGGTAGAGAGATGGCTCCTGCCCAGGGGATCAGCTGCCCTCTGCTCCTGCCTTGCTCTGCTAAAGCCTGAGGCCTCCCTGCATGCACCCAGACACAGCAGTGCCGCTTCATGGCCTGGCTCTCCTCTCCTGAGCTGTTCATCTCAGGGTTGGCATTTAATGGACTCGGTGGTGTGGTGGCCACCTGAGCGTTAGCGGCTTCTCTGGCAGGCCATGGTGGAAGAACATCTGTGCAACCAAATTCCTGGGCACCAGGAAGGGAAGTCAGGTCACCAAGTGCTGCTCCACACCCCGGCTGAGCTTGGCTTGAACCGCCCACATATGCTTGCCGGGGCCACTTGAGGGGCCTTGGGCAGAGAAAGCCAAATCTGGACCTAGCATATGTGTGGCTCTCCAGCTGTGGGTCCCCAAGATCAGTTGGTGAGATTTCCGCTGGGGACGACAGCCCAGCAGAAGAAAGGTGTTGCTCTCTTGGCACAGATGGCAGAAGGCCAGGCTCTAGGATTTACAGGAGGCCTTGCCTGTCCAAAGTCCTCCTGTTGCCTGGCAACAGCAAAGGCCCATGCTACACACACATGCTTGCTTTTGCATCCAGGCACCTAAGCACACACAGCCTCATCTAAGTCACTAGGTTCGCCCTACACCTCAGGGCAGGAAATTCCAGGCAGGCATTTTCTGCAGCCCTGGAAAAAAAGTAGTGAATAGCGGATGGCATTGCCTCATCAATCCAACGAGGTAAGTTTCTGTTTTAGTATCCGTTTTGCAGCCTTAAGCAAAGCTCAGAGGGAGTACCTTTTCATGAAATGATTAATCCACCATTTACTGGCTTTGCCTGTGAAAAAGCAATCAGTGTACCATATAGGCAAGATTCACTTTTGCATTAGTATGACAAGAGGACTGCAGTTCTTGACACAACCAGCATTTAACTGCTGTGGCACACTCCAATGGCTACCAGTCCTGACGGCTTCATAGTCATGAAGCCATCCACACACGTCCTGAGAAGAGCTGGTTGGAGCCGGGGGTCAGACTAGATGACCTGGGCATCCCCTTCTGACCTGCTTACTTTCTATGTTTCTATGTTGCAGAAGCAGAGGGGAACACAAGCATGAGAAAGCTATTGCAGGCATCTCCCGTTTGCGGATTTTCTGCAGGAAGCTGGTTGGCCATGGTGTGAACAGAATGCCGGACTAGACGGCAGCTCGGTTTGATCCAGCAGGGTTCTCGGCTGCAACAGCGGCAGAAGCACACATACAAACTGGGGCCTCACCAAACATGAATGGAAGCAAAAATTCTCCCCCCTTAAACCGGCTTAGCAATCCCATCAAGCAGGTAATTCTTGTCTTCACTTGGGCACGTGTGTGTGCACAGATATGATCAGTGTGTGCACTGATGTCCTACATCAGTAAAAACAGCAGGAGAGAATTGAACATTTCGTTAAATCAACCCTACACTGGTCGGTTAGGATACCCAGTCAAGGAAGTTTATCTGTGTGTATGTTGCACAGGCACAACTTGAGGCCTCAGGAAACCAGAAGTGTGCAAGGGCAGAATTTTGCAAGACACTTTTAGTACTGGTGGTTCACTAGCCTGCAACAGAGGCATTTAAAAAAGGCGTACCTGCAAGTATCCTCCCTTTGCCACCCAGAGAGAAACCACACAGAATATGATAGATGAGGAGAAAAGGGACAGGCCTCTAACAGAAATATATAATGCTTGATGGGATCCAGAAAGGAAGGGAGAATAAAGATTCGATGGTGCAATGACATCCAGGAAATATTTCGCCACACTCTAGATCAAGAATAGACATTTGTGAGAACAAGATCTCTGCAGCATATGGCCATACTGATGCCCTTGGAAGCAGTCCAACACTTCACTCCTTGCTCACGGGTGACTCTGTACAAACAAGGTCCAGCGTTATGTTGCAAAGGAAGTGAACAGTTGAAGACAAACAGAAAAGAGGAAATAGGATTTTTATATCTCTTCTTCGTCCTCGCTCCCAGCTCCATCCAGCCCACTGGCTGCATGTCCTGCCTGTTCTCTCAGGTACTGTGCTTTTATTTGCTCCAGTTCTCTCAGTTCAGCCTCCAGTTTTAATCTGTGCACTCCACGCCGAGTTTGCAGCAGCTTTATGGAGAATGGGTTCATGTCACTGAAGGCAATGCTCATCAGCTTTCTGCAAGAGGGAAACCATGTGAGTGAGACCTGAACTGAACTCTCTTTGGAATGAGGTCACACATCCTTTTGTTTTGCCTCACAAAGTGGAGGCAGGCTCCCAGAAACAGGGCAGCTTTCCAAAGAGAATATCTGGCCACTGTTCAGGGTTCCTCTACATCAGGGGTCTCAAACTCGCGGCCCGCGGGCCAATTGCCGGGATGGGCAGGGCACGGGGGAGAGGCCCTGCGGCCTTCAAAGCGCCTGCGGCACCCGGGCCGGCCGCGGGATGAGCGGCCCACCACCACCACGGTGGTGGAATACTTGATGCGGCCCAGCCTCACCCAGACTCTACTTCCAGTGGCCCCCAGGTAAGTTGAGTTTGAGACCCCTGCTCTACATCCTTCGTGCACCTCTGTAACTCTCTGGACAGCCTGCTGGTTCTACATACTGTGGGAGCTGTTCTAAACCAATCTTTCAGCATGTATTGCTTTTGGGGAATCTGTGGAAGCTTTGTCTTGCAGAAGAAAATCTGTAGTATGTCGCCTGTTTATTGTTTAGGAAAACTGGTCTGCCATTACCGACCATTCAGTACACCCCAATAAATATTTGAAGAACCCGGGGATTTTCTGGAACAAGCCAGGCTTACATACTATACTAATTATAATTAAGTGAAATCTAGAGAGTTTTGTGATATATTTACAGGTGATCCATCAAATGGTCAGAAACACAGGCACAGACAATCAGGAGCATGCAGGATTCAGACTACCTTCTAAAATATATTCAATATTATCTGGACTCATTTCAGTCTGGCTTCAGACCCGGGTACAGTACTGAATCTGCCTTGGTTGCCCTGTATGATGACCTGTGCAGGGAGAGGGACAGGGGGAGTGTGTCCCTGTTGGTTCTCCTGGACCTCTCAGCGGCTTTCGCTACCATCGACCTTGGTATCCTCCTGGATAGGCTGGCGGGATTGGGAGTAGGACGCACTGCCTGGCAGTGGTTCCACTCCTACCTTGACGGCCAATTCCAGAAGGTGGTGCTGGGGGACTTTGGCTTTGTGCCACAGCAACTTTGCCATGGAGTACCACAGGGTTCCATTCTGTCCCCCTTGCTATTTAACATCTACATGAAATCACTGGGAGAGGTCATCAGGAGGTGTGGGCTGCGGAATCACCAGTATGCTGATGACACCCAGCTCTACCTCTCTTTTTCAACTAACCCAGGTGAGGCAGTGGCTGTACTGAACCGGTGCCTGGCCGAGGTAATGGGCTGGATGAGGGCCAATAAACTGAAGCTCAATCCAGATAAGACGGCAGTTCTGTTGGTGGGTGATTCGAGCTCCTGGGTAGGTGACTTGGGCCTTGCCCTGGATGGGGTTGCACTCCCTCTAAAGGACAGGGTCTGCAGCTTGGGAGTGCTCCTCGATCTGGAGCTGTCCTTGGAAGCCCAAGTGACAGTGGTGGCGAGGAGCGCTTTCCTTCAGCTTCGGCTAATCTATCAGCTGCATCCCTACCTGGAGAAAGATTGCCTAGCAACAGTAACACACGCATTGGTTACTTCCCGATTGGATTTCTGTAATGCACTTTACGTGAGGCTGCCCTTGAGGACAGTCTGGATACTTCAGATGGTTCAAAATAGAGCAGCCAGGTTGCTGACGGGGACTGGGCATTATTCTCATATAACCCCAGTCCTCTATCAGCTCCATTTGCTTCCCATCAAAGTCCGGGCTCAATTCAAGGTGCTGATTATTACCTAAATATCCCTAAACGGCTTGGGACCAGGATATCTAAAGGAACACCATTTTCCCTATTTGCCCTGAGATTGGCAACAGAAGCCCTCCTCTGGGAACCCTCTGTGAAAGGTATTAGGAGGCAGAGCACCTGGAAAAGGGTATTCTCTGTGGTGGCGCCCCAACTATGGAATGCGCTCCCCAGAGAGGTCCGCCTGGCGCCGTCATTATGTTTTTCATCGCCAGGTTAAGATCTTTTCATTTAATCAATATTTTAATATGTTTTAATATTGAATTTTATTATCGTATTTTCTTAACTTGCAGCCAGAATGGGTTGTCAATTTATTTATGCTGTTAGCCGTCCAGAGACATTAGTAATTGGACAGCATACAAATTGTATAAATAAATAAATAAATAAATAAATAAATAAATAAATAAATAAATAAATAAATATTATTGAAAGGGGAGTGCGCTTTTAGAGTATCCAATTTTAACACTGCTGCAAGCACCTTTCTCTTACCAGGCCATGTGGAAGCAACTTTCCTGTAGCGCTGTCCAAATATTTGCAGAGTGAAAGTGTGTGTGCGAGAAAGAGCGTGGCAGCATGTGTGCACACAAGAAGGAAGCTTTCTCATCTGACTGGCATCCCACTCACAGACCAAATGCAGACAATGGACTGTAGCATCTACAGCCACCAGCGGGCACATGTAACATCTGCTTGCGGGTGGTCATGTTGCATGAATCCAGTGAGCAGTGCTGTAATCCTTGCATAATCCACTCCCTCCAGGTTTGCAGATATAATAACTTCTAAGTGGAGGTTATATATTCAAAATAGCAGCTGTGCACACCACAGCCTCACCAGGGGTTAAATAATTCACATTAGGCTCTCCTGTCATGCAACCAGCCCCGCAGTGTTGGACAGCAACACAGGGAAATGGATTGGATGTGGCTAGTGTGTGGAGATGGCTTGATATTTTAACCTTGATTTATCTGTGCTCAGCTTGACTTCCAATGTGCATCAGATAATCTGACATTCCATGTATGGTTTTATTTTTATTCTCTATCCACTGCCTGATTCCCTTGTGTTTGCACCTTCCAATTTGCCAAATGACCAACTGGACCTTCCCTAGACAAAGTTCCTGATAGGATGCTGACTGTCCCAATCTCCATTCCAAGCCCTGGGCTTCTGATGCCATCCTTACCTGCCATCACAGATGGTTTTGGTGAAAAAACGAAGATACTGGTAAATTTCCAAGCTGTCCTGGATCCTTAGAATTGCATCTTCATTATATTTAAAAATTGCCAGAGCATAACGGAATATCACCTGGGACAAAGGAAAGCTTGGCTAAAAGTTATATAATGTCATAGGAGGGATGCAGACAGACCCTGGTGGCTTATAAATGTGACAGCAACAAGGTGCACAGTTCATTAAACACACACAGAGGTTCAGAAAGTCTGGCCCAGATTCTTAACCACTAAAATATCTCCTCCTGCACAGTGGCATATTAAGGAGAGTAAATAGACTCAAGTCTCTTACCTTGGTCCCTTCATACAGAAAGGCATCCCAGACTCTGAAGAGAATGTCACTGACAAGACTGTCAACAAATACAACCAGAAACCAATTGAAGGTCACAAGGGCCAGATCAATTCGGTGCTGCTCCAGGTGAGCTGTCAGCCTGGGAAGCTTCTCCAACAAGATATCTTTGAAAACTCTTTGATCCACCTAGATTTGGCAGAATAATAATTAAAGATGCAATTCTATGAATATTTAGACAAGAAAAAGGCCTACAATTCCCACCATACCCCTGTGTGTGCTTTTTTTACTGTCTAAACCAGGGGTCTCAAACTCACGGCCCGCGGGCCAATTGCCGGGATGGGCAGGGCACAGGGGAGGGGCCCTGCGGCCTTCAAAGCGCCGGTGGCGCCCAGGCCGGCCGCGGGATGAGCGGCCCACCACCACCACGGTGGTGGAATACTTGATGCGGCCCAGCCTCGCCCAGACTCTAATTCCAGCGGCCCCCAGGTAAGTTGAGTTTGAGACCCCTGGTCTAAACATTCATAGGATTGTGCCTTAAGTAACCTTATTAGAACAGCTGGCTGGAGAATGCTGGAACTTTTCCCTCTTTCCTGAACATCTTTTCCCTTGAAACCTGTGTAAGACTGACCAAAGATAGTAAAAACCCTTTCAGTGGAACCAATGGATACTCAGGGGTTTGGGAAACAGATTCAGGGCCAGGGCCCTCATGGCACCTACAGGCATTTGAAAATTTTCCCTACAAACACAGCACATATCATAGTGGTATTCCATTCTTAAAAGAACCCATTTTTCCTCACCCGTGACTGCTTTGTTGCAGGACTTAGTGAGGAGTCCCAAACTTACTTGTGAGCCTATCAGCGTGTTGCTGTAGTAATCTGGAGGCATTAGGTTTTCTGTGATATGAACTAGGCACCAGAAAGCACTTTCTTCCTCTTCTAGGACCAAAAGTGCAATGGCTGCTAGTCTAGGAGCAATGAGACAGAAATGTAAATGTAAAGCAAGCAGCCGCAACAGGAGGGCCTACAACTATGGCCATTAAAAATGCCTATTTTTTAGTTTCACTTTTGAATTGTGAAGCTGCTTGCTTTTTCAAGTGGCTGCAGCAGAAGCTACAAGCACATCTTTGGCTGAGCATGGTTTCATTTCATGTTCACCTATAGTTTCTCGGATGGCATAATGCATTAAACTGGAGTCCTTCTCCATTTCTTTTACAAGATGCCTAGAGTCTACTCAAGTCTAATTTATGATTAGCAAATTGTTTGTGGTAGATGCAAGAGATCTAAGAAACGTAAGCTGGAGTCTCTCACCTGTTCAGCCCTTGGCAATAGCCAATGGTGGGATTTTGCCGGGAAAATGCCAGCAAAACCCGTCGGAGTTTAGGAACCATCTGGGAGGTAGGGGACATAAAGTGTCTATTGCTGGTCAGTGTGCGGGGCAGATCCAGCTCAATCTGTCGGGAAGCTGGGTGCTCGGCGGCTTCACACTTCTCCAGCAAGTTTTGGTAGTGGCCCGCATAGCGGATGTGCTGCACCCGATGACTCACAATCCATCGCCACACCCTCTTGCGGTGCTGTACCGGGATGCCACAGCGCAGCAGGTTCTTCAGCTCCGTGGAAGGAGCCAGTTCTCCAAGGTTATTCCACCGCTCAGAGAGGGGCTTCTCCATTGCCTCATTGTTCCGAAGATTACTGGATTTGATCTCTAGTGCCTGGATTTTTGCCAGAAGCTTCCAGTCTGCAGCTTCATAGTCAGGAACAGTCATAAACCCATAGTCATCATATTGACTGAACAGTGAAGAGCGCAGAATGGGGAAAAACAAGAGATTACTGGGGCAACCAGTGAATGAAGAAGTTTAGTTAATCCTCAGCCTACTAACTAAATAAACTAAGTTTCGTATGTGGCTTAAGAAAAATGCAAACTACTATGCTGTAACCCGCCTAGGAAGGCCTTTTGGCAGTTATAGGGGGCCTATAAATATGTGAATAAATAAATAAATTTTCTCCTTTTTTTGCCTATTGCACTACCACAAAAATATCCTAGAAAGATAAGCCAGTAAGCCCTTGAACTGCAGTATCATTTTACTCCTCAAGGCAGGCTATACCTCAAAATCTTTGGCTGATTAATCTACTGATTAAAGCCTGCCAACAGATGAATAGAAGGACTGGGCAAAGATTCATCTCATCCAACAACAGAAATCTTGGTGCCAAGGAAACAGCCCCACGCCCTCTCGCTCGCACTCATGGCATTTACTTGATTGGGCTCAGCTGAGCAGGAATCATGGGCTGGTCCTTCACGTCCCACTGAAGTGCCTCCCGTATGAGGCCCTTCACCATGTCCACGTGCTCGCTAGCCAAACCCGGCAGGCCTTGCAGCTTCCGCAGCAGCATCAGGTACTTGCTCTCAATCTGGCAGTTGTGGGCTTGCAGATGGGCACACTGCAACATAAAGGGAGACCAATGCAATAGTTGGAGTACGAGCAGGGCTTCGCACGAGGCTTTTCACAGCAGAGGCGGCCACATGCAAACCAGGCACAGACAGCTGATAATTCATAAGTTCATTTGGACGCAGAAAGAAAGCTGGATCATCATCTGTCTCTCTGTCTATCTACAGGCCAAGTATCTCTATAGATTAAGTTTCTGGGGGAAAAAACTGCTTTGCTATTATAGTTAGTACTTTGAAATCCCCAGAAATAAGACACAGTAGACGTCACCACATGATAAATGTTGGTGATCCTAAGTTCCTTCTTTCCTGTTTGTATTCCAAGAGGAGACCAGATCTAACTAATGTAACCTATAAAAGCTGTGTTGGTAACAGAGGTGGATTGCTCCTTGCTACCTACACTGGCAGTCTGTGATGCTGATGAGCTGCTCAAGGACCCCTCCCTACAATATTATCACATAGATAAAACTCTGATTGGATTGCAACTTTCTCTTAATTGGACTGAACCGTCTTTACATTTCAAGTTTTTCCTTCCACGGGGTCATATCCAAGTTAATTGCTGCAATCACCTTCAGGGCTTCTTTGGATGGGCTGCCTACAGTGGCATGGCAGACCAGACAAAAGCCTCCTCTGCACTGGTCCTCTTTGTGAAATGCTCTTCTCAGGGACACCTGCCTGAAGTCCTCACCATCAGTCTTCAGATAGTAGGTTCAGTCCTCCTGGCAGGCATCTAACCTTTAATCTGCTGCATCAGTCACACACTGTCAGCTTGTGAACATCTTAATATTTGCCACTGTTGTATCACTGGTTTTTATGATTGAAAGTTACTCCAAAGACATCTACCAGTTGGATGGCATATAAATTTAATAACTAGAAACAAAGGTAAGAAAAGTTATCATCGGGTATATTTGCAGCCATACAGGCAAGCACACAGGAAGCACAAATTGCTGGCTACCTCTCTTCCTCAGTTTTCCTCTTCAGGACTTTTCCCAGATCCACAGCACCCCTTTCAGCTCTAGTAAATTACTAAACCATTAGAATCCCACAGAGAGGGGCAAGATATCCGTGTATGCACAATACCTCACAGATCTCTACAATATGCATATCCTCCCATCCACATATATCTGGACGTGTACCACTGAAATAAGGAAAGCAGCAACAGATCAGAGAAAATGTGGTTGCCTGGCAGGCCCTCCACACAGCTCTCCCCCACCCCGCAATACATACACGGTGAAGCAGAAATGAGATGTTCGAAACACTTCCATACTGGGAAGAAAAGGTTTCCATAAGATCCAACACAGGGATAGCATTTTTTTATACTATCCAGGCCCACTTTAGATAGTGGTACAAAGCCCAAAGAGAATATAATATTAAAATGAATGCCCTTTCTCCCCCATGCTCAGGCTCACACAGAGAGAAGGAAAGAGAGAGGTGGGGGGCACTAAATGTTATGGTATTTCGAACGGGATTTCAGAAAGCTCGTAAAGACTGGATGCTCAACCAACAAGATTGGACCCAAAGACCACCAATAGTTAATATTTCCAGAGCACCTATTGTAACTAGTCACTGTATGTAAATTGAAATTAAGACACAAGGTTTGCCCTCAGGCTTTTAGAGATGCTGGGCACAGAGGGAAGGAGCAAGGAGGGACAAGGGAGGGAAGGAAGATCTGCTTTAGCATGACAGAGTGAAGGCATTTCCGTTCTCTTTTGCAGGCATATTAATCCAGCTTGAGACAGCCTGGGGCAATTCACTTACTATTTTAATAGTAACCTTAATTTTTACATTTACTTAATTATTAGTTGTTCGAGGTGCAGCTGTATTTATGCAAGAATTAGTTTGTAAAGTGTCAAAAGACTTTCTGTTGTTAAAAAACTGAGGAGAGCAAAATACCTGTCATGTTCTAATCCTTTCTTTGTTATTCCACTAACCAGTCCTACTCATCACTATAATGTCCCTCCGGAGAAAACTTCGGAGAAAACTTCTGCAGGTGAACACAAGCCGCTGTTTGTCAAGTATGCCCCACAATCCCACAATGAAGGGTGGATCTGTATCTTCTAAAGACCCCTGGGGTGTAATGTGCCTCTAGACACACTGCAGCCCTCCAGGGAATCCCTCTTAGGCAAGGTTTGTCTCAAGAGTAGTTGTCACGTTCCCCCTCCACAATGCCACCACCATTAAGTGCAATACCTTCCTTTTTCTCACTTGTATGGAAAAAGTTAAAGGCTTGCACTTAGGTCCCTGTCCTTGCTGCAGCACACCTGAATCTCCATGCAAGTAGACTAAAAGCATGACAGAATGGTAGGGACTGCTTTTCTGGCCACACTGAGGTCCAAATGCAAGGACATTTTTGAAATCTGGAAAAGGTATAGAAAGAGCACAGAGCCTAAACACTAACGTTGGACTGCCAAAGAGCATCATGTCACGTCATTTCTTACCTTCATCAGGAGGGTCTTCTCTCTCTGTGCCACTGCACTCCAGATTTTAGTAACCTGGTGGATTTCACAGTTCAGAAATTGGTTCTGAGTCTTGTAGGCCTCCAAGTCATCCTGGCAAAAGAACAAGAGAAGACATTGAAAAGCAACCTGCTACTGGCAACTGAAATTTCTTAGCCCAGGAGAAGAGTGTTTATGGATGGATAAATGTGGTCCTAAAGATAGGGTCAGAGGTAGCTTGTTCCTGGTCTGTAAAAATCTTCCATGGCTGCCCAAAAAGGTCCAGGGTGTTGCTGACTGAAATGCTACAAAAGCTCTGATTCACCTTCCTCATGTGTCTGCAAATACTACAGTCACTCTAGATGGCTGCTTATGCTGGCCCAGCCCCTTAGTGACCAAAGAATGGCCTCAGACAGTAAAGAAGGGAACCTTTACCAAAGTTCTAATTCTTAATTTTAAAGGGCAGGCTGCTGGGCTAGTGAGAACCTTTGTGAGCTTGTTTTGGCAAAGGTATAGTAGTTCTTGAATTAGTATACTGGAATGTTTCTTTTCACTGGCCCAAGCTCAGGGAGACAAAATGTTACAGGTAGAACTTTCAGTTTCAATACTGAGAGGGTGGAGATAGAGGTAGGAGTAAAGATTATTACTTAATTTCCTTAACCAGTTGAATTAATGAATTTAATGAGCATCCTGTGGGTTTTCCCCCAACACATACTCTCAGGTCAGGTTGCACAGCTTAAGTGGGTAATCAGTAGAAATTATGCCAACTGAGTAGATATGTATGATCTATCTTAATTTTACATCAAATTTTCCACAGTCACAGAAAGAAGTGAGGAACTAGGAAGGGTACCAAAGCCTCATCCTTGACTATTGGAAATCAAATCTAGCAGAAATCTCAACCACTTCCAAGATTTCAGAAGGCATTTTCCTACATACTTTATCATATGATTTTAAAGATGTTGACTCTGTATTATGATCCTTTTCTTCTTCCTTCTTCACCACTCAGAAAATGGATGTAGAGTGGTATATACATCTTGTAAATATATAAATATTCCCTACCACAAGGGCTCAAAACTTGCCTTTAAAAAAAGTCTGCATTCTCTGTCCAGCATGATATTCTACATTTCATTTGAGTGAGTTAGCAATTAGGCATTTCTGTGAAATTGTGGCACAGAGACTTCCCTTAGGCAAAAAGGCAGGTTGGGATAATACAGAGCCAAGATGCAACTGTGGAAGGAAGCTGGCCAGAAATGCCACCTTTAATTGTACTTGACCACTGCCTGAGTCTAACTGTTCACCTCTGCATACCTTTAAGTATTCAATTTCTTCCTGCTGCTTGTACAAGGTCTCTGTGGCAATGACGTCTGCCTCAGCAACGGTGTTAGCCATGTTTCCAGTGAGCTGGTCCGTCAGCTTCAGAATGACTTGCTGCTTGGCCTGGTTCTTTTCCATCAAGAGCTGCACGTGTTCCGCCAGCTCCTTGATGTGCTCCTCCTTCAAAGCAAGGCTCTGCTCCAGCTCTTTCTTCTCCATGTCCAGCACTCCAACTTGTTTGTTCAGCTCGGCAATCTGCCTCACTTTGTGCCTCATCAGTTCCAGCCTGTCTTTCTCCTTTGCTGTGGCCAGGTAGAGACAAGACTCCCGTTTCTCTTGCTGGGCTGCCTCCAGAGCTTTGTGGAGAAGTTTAACCAGTTCCTGTGGAAGAAAGCACAAAAAATGCTTTACTCTGTAGTGAAATGCTTCCTGACTTCCACTTTACACTGCATAAGAGGCAAGTGAGGATTCAAGATGTAGCTAGATGCTTCTGTACCACACATCTGCAGCACAGGTGAGGTAGAAAAGATGGATTAGCTCTCGGCAGATTGACAAATGACCAAGGGGTCCTGGGAGTAAGAACTGCCCTCAGAGATGTTTAATTGTCTCAGAAAGGGGGCAGCAACCTCTACCATAGTCCTGAGTGAACAAAAGTAGGTTCAATTTTTGGCTGGCAATTTGCATCAGCTGTTGAGAAAGAGATTGACAAGGGGGTATTATCACTATTATCCAAAAGTGCAATTTATCTCCCAGATTAACAACATGTTAGTGAGTAGCCCTGTAAGAACATGCTGATTTTATTCAGTCAGTCACTATTTTCCCCCTTAGATCCCCAAAGAAGGTCATCCATTTAAGAACAAAGAGAACTGTATCTGAAAGCTAGCAACAATGCGGCATAAAAAGGCTTTTGTAATTGTTGCATGGACCAAATAGAATGTAGCAAGCAATGGTTGATAGAGGCACCACTGGCACCCTTCCCAGAGCAGAGAAAAAACATGATACACTTGCATTTAAATCTGTATAGCATTGCTTCCGTTGTTAAAATCAACACGGTTAACTAGCATACCTAGTTAACAGAACACAAGTCTGTTCTTGTGTTCAGACTTCGTATTTTAATGTCTTCAGTGGCCTTTATTCTTGTTATGTATGTTGCCTTGAGTATTTTGCTTTAGGAGGGAAATGTTAGGAATGAGAAGCACTACAGAAGGGCCAATAACTATGAGACAAAGCTTATTGTCATGGAGCAGCTGAGATGGTAAACTAGAATATGTCCAGTTCAAGCCATAAGCTCACCAAATCGCCTTACACAAGACTCTGTTATCACACTCGCAGGCTCTCTTCAGGAACAATGATACCGACAAGCGCTTTCCCACTGAATTACAAAACTCCCTGCTGCTTTATGCCTTCCTCCTTCATTGCAAGCTTGCAAAAAAGCTTTAAAAATAGTTGCTCAAACTGGCCTTTCCTGTATAGATAGCCAAGCTATGAGTTGCATTCTCAAGAACCTCAAACTTGGCTTAATTTTCTCCATATTGATAGGGCTTGTTCTGCCTATTTGTTTTCTTACATTCAGCTCCTTTACGGTTGTAAACTCTGTAAGAATATGTCTTTGAGAAGTAAAATATAAACATATTAAGCAAGCAACCTCTAAATATTACCATTAATACCAAAGGAAAGGAAGTAGGCACAAGACAGGTATAGTTGCCCTCAATGTCAGTCTTTAATAACAAGATTTTATCATGTATGCAGACAATGCACTTTAGGACTTAATCCAGTGAAGCTACCCATAACCTATTCATGTCCTGGTGGTGCCAGTCTTCTCCCCCTCCAGAAGAACACCCCCTAATGCTTCCTCTGAGGCCACTGCAACCTAAGTCGTTCTTGCCATGCCAGCTGCAAGTCATGGAGGGCACTCCAAGTGTGGATCCCCAGCTCTGGGCTCAGGAGGAGGAACGCAAACAATCCCTGTCTAGGGGCCATTGGTTCACCCTGTGAACATTCAGAAGCGAGTTGGAAGGGGTCAATGAGGCCATCGGGTCCAGCCCCCTGCTCAAAGCAGGACTCCAAATTGAAGCATCTCTAATGGACACCTGTTCAGCTGCACCTTGAATGCCTCCAGCATGGGAGCACCTACAAACTGCCCAGGTCACTGGTTCCGTCATGTAAGGAACTTATATAACAATATTAGAAAATAATTGAGGAGAATGTAATCTTCAGTAGTGTCTATGTCCTACAATCTACAGAATACAGGAGAGCAGTACATCATGGCTAGAGAATAGTTTCATCTTATATACCGCAGAAAACGTTGTGGAACCCAGTTGGTTCAGGCACTCTGTTGCCACTGAATGTGTTCCTACAAAAGCAGAATGTGAAACCAAACCCAACAACTTCAGTGCTAGAATCAGTACTAATAATGCCACGGACATTTCTAGATGCTCACAATAATGGCATGTGGACCCTTGAAACAGCACTCGGGACAAAAATGAAATGTTCATTTCCAGAGTCATTTCAAAGTCATGGTTAACAGGGAACTATGGTGAGTGGTGAGGAGCCAGGCAGTAAGAATTTGTGCTGGAGACACTAAAGGCTGGTGGAGAGGGAACATGTGAATCTGCAGTCTGTTCTTGTCTCTTTTATCATCACTTATCACTGTTAGCCTTAACTCAGAACTGCTAACTTTGGCATTAGAGGCCCACACTGGTATTCCAGCCATGTTCATGATTGTTCATGCTGTAGGATGGTCCTTCTACGACAGCCTAAAGAAGAGACATGTTCCTAAAGATGGAAGATGCAGAAATTTGGGCCCAGAAACCAAATCTAGCCCTTCAGAGTTCCCTTATGTGGTGGAACCAGTTTCTTCCTTCCCCCAAACACAGATCATTTGGTGTCCTCCTGGCTTTTCTGCAGTTTTTCCCTCATTCTGAAAAGTAGAAATACCTCTCGTAAAGCTTAATTTCTAGCAGGAAGATCTTTAGGCAAAAAGATGCTAACACATTTGGCCTTTGGGCTCCACCCCTTTTGCCTTCGGCCCTGCTCAGCCCAGAATGCGGCCCTCAAGTCTGTTTCCAAAATGGCTGAAAGAGGCTCAACATCTCTTGCATAGATAGCAGAATCTGGAAGCAGTATTAACAGGGTTTTTTCAGGGTATAAGAAGCATATTAACCTTCCATACTGCCATTTATGTGATGTTTTTATCCAGCCCTTCCTCCACAGAGCAGGGGATGGCTCTTCTCCAAGGCTGGTGAGACTGAAAATGATGGGCCCAAGGTCACCCACTGCGCTCCATGCTTGAATAGGGGCATCAGGCTTGCTCTCTTTGGTCCCGGCTTGACAGGGTCTCACTATCACCCCACACCTGGCTCCCATGCCCTGATGTGTTGGTGAGTCTCCTTGCTAGTTATCGGAAACATGATGGGTGAGTTCTGGAGCCAGTCTTCTCCTCCGTGTTGCCTTTCTTTCAGAGCTCTCCTTCCAGAAAGTTCCTCCAGGCCAGTTTATGGAAAGGGGGCCAACATGCCTATTTATAACCCTTTAAACTGATTAGTCTGGTACCGCTGAGGATTTCTGTACGCAGGATTATTACAAGGGCCCCTGCCATGCAGTTGTGATTGCATTTTTTTACTGACATTTTATTTTCCTGCATTTTAAAGTAAAGGCAAAGGTTCCCCTTGACATTAAGTCCAGTCATGCCTGACTCTAGGGGGCGGTGCTCATCTCCGTTTCCTAGCCAAGAGAGCCAGCGTTTGTCTGCAGACAGTCTCCGTGGCCATGTGGCCAGCATGACTAAACACTGAAGTGCACGGAATGCTGTTACCTGCCCACCGAAGTGGTACCTTTCTATCTACTTGCATTTGCATGCTTTCGAACTGCAAGGTTGGCAGAAGCTGGGACGGAGCAACGGGAACTCACCCCGTTGTGCAGATTAGAACTGGCGACCTTTCGATCTACCAGCCCAGCAGTACACCGGTTTAAACCACTGCGCCACCTGCAGTCCCTTTCCTGCATTTTAAACTGTGCTAATGTTAAGTTTCACAAATTCGCCCTGGGAACCTCTCTGGCACCAGAAAATAATATCTTCCACAATGTTGTGCCACTGCTGAAGGCCCTGCTCAGTGGTCGCATCAGGAGATTTCCTTTCAAGAGCTGTGGATCAATACATGCCAAATACACATTCAAGGACAGCCTTACCTTCTGAGATTTCACTTCCTCTTCAAGAACTAGAACTTGGTGCTTCAGAGTGTCTATTTTCTCCTGTCGTGCCCCTTCAGCAAAGTAATGGAAACTGCTATTCGGCTTTTTGTTTTTTCTTGCCAAAGGCATCTTTAGCCTCCTCTTTATGTCTTTTTGCATATCTGAAGTCACTGGCAGGAAAATAAAAAGCATGAAACTCTGTCATTGCCATGGAAGAAGCACACTGGCTTGGATAATTTGGGAGGATAGATTTTGAGGATCTTACAGATTGAAACTGAAACTCCCCACCAACTGATCTAGGTTCAGGAAGTTAGGAAGCTTAAAATGAGCAACCCTGCACATACTCACTTGGAAGTAAGTCCCACTGTGTTGAATAAGGATTATTTTCAGGTCAGTGTACATATGCTTGCAGCCGCAGTCTAGTATTTATGTCTGCAATAGTTTCAGTACAGCACACACCAATATGTACTCAAAGTGAGTCCCTTTGGTTTCAGTGAGGGTTACTTTTAGGTTAAGTGTTCCTAGAACAATTGCTGCTTTGTACTCATTTCTCCAAATTTATCTTTCACTGGCCCTGATCTACAAACCGCAATGATACACACCAAGGGGGATACACAGAATACCGACCTCAACATGCTTTTTATGTTCTATTGTAAAAATACAATTTTTAAAGCACCTGTATCCTCAGCTTCTGCTTCCACATGCTCCTCATCAGCTACATTTTCAAGATTTTCTTGGGATCCCACAAACATGCCACTTTCCCTTCGGTTCTGCAAGCTGCTACAAAGGTTATGCACTGTGTTCCTGAAAGCACAGAATCATATGGAAGTGAAAAAGAAGCCATACACTACTTGTACCAGGATCACAAATAAATCCTGAGTTTTAACTAAGCTGGAGAAGCTTAATCTGCGGTGTTAAACTGGTGAATTCAGAATGCCAGTCAGAATTCAAAGGATGGATTACAATCATTGTATGCAACAAATTTTGTGCGCACAAAAAAGCCAGGAAAATGTCACATAGAGCACATAAAATCTCAGGGAGACATTTCTAGCTTAGCCTTGCCACTAACCTGTTAGTCTCTGTGTACAGCGAATTACATTTTTATGGAGTAATACTGAATCAACTCCACTGCTGTCCAAACCAGGACATCCAGTAATGGGCAGGTTTCTCACAACAGTGAAAACAAAGCTTTAGTTATACATGCCAGTTTGCTTGCAAAATAGCAACTGTGATTAAAAGCTAACTCACTAGTGTACACAAATTCTAGGATTCTCAGGCAGAAAGAGGGGGTTTCTCCACTTACCTTTACGCGCTTTGAAAACTAAAGAACTGAAAGACTAAGAGCACAAACTTATACTGATTTACTCAGAAGTATGTCCAATGGAACTCTGTGGGGCTTACACCCAGGTAAGCATGTATAGAAAATATTAATAGTGCTACAAGTACATTAATGGTGCACTCCTTTGCATGCTTAGACAGAAAGATGGCATGCCACTCCCAGCACGCCCTAGCCAGCATGGGGCACGGCTCGCTGGGACATACGGGGAGTTGTACGCCCTCTTTCTCTTCAAACGTACAAAGGTTTATGCCCTAACATAAAACAGAAGTTCAGCAGTAATCAAATGAATTGGCAGTTGCAGTTAGGCATGGTTTTGTCTATTCATTTAAATATTCATCACAAAAGACTGGATTCTGATGCCTTCCCTTCATAAATCATGCAGATTATAGAATATGCCTTGTTCCTATCCTTTCGCTGCTTAGCCACGGGGCAGGCAAAGTGTGAGGAAACTTCATCTCCTCTGTCCCCACCTTCTGAGAATCTCATTCAGCAATTCTTCTGGCCATTTTAACCAGATATTGCTCATGTACTTCCAAACTTAGCGTATCTTTGCAGCCTTTAGGGCTAAACAATGGTTTTAAATGACAAGAAGGCGCATTCAACTCCTAGTACTTCATTCTACTCAGCATATATAAACCCTGGAGGGAAGCTGGGGTTTGCAGTAACCCTTGCTTCCCTGTCTTGTTGAATTTCTGCCACAAGGCTGCATCCAATGCTGCAACATAATCAAGTGTGGGGACTCCTACTGCCTTCAGTAGATCTTTGATTTAGCAGATATTGTACCTAGTTAAGTACAAACTCACATGACCTGGGTTCACTCAGGGCTGGGCCAGGCACACATGCTCATGATGATAGTATGTCTTGCTTACATGAAAGAACCATCACAGATAAACACAGAAACAGAGAAACAGAGCAAGTCAGAAGGGGCCTCCCGGGCCATCTAATCTGACCCCCCCTTACACTCTTACACTGCTAGGAACATGATGCATTGTTCTTGAGCTGCATCACACATTCAGCAATAAGCAGAAAAGGTACTGTTCTCAAAATTGCCACATTAATTTTAATTGGAATAAAATGGATGGGTTCACACAACAGGACTACCCGTACTGCAGCACAAACCATCTAGTGTGGACTGTCTGCTCAAGAGCTCACAATGTGCCCAATAGACAAATGGCCACCTCACAGGTCCTTTCTCACCACCTCCTCAATCGGTCCTCCCACAGGTATGCCAGTGCCCCCCTCGGGGACGTCCCGGTCTCTCCCCATCCCTGCTAATATGGGGCGCCTGCATGGGCTTGCTGCAGTGGTGGGAAGCAGGGGCCGTGGCTGCTGATTTGCAAGGTGGCAGCAAAGAGATCTGCAAGGGGAAAGCTTGCAAAGAAACATGACAACTCACTATGAGTTGTCACAATGTGCGAACCAACCAAATTCCTCTTCAGGGACGATTCTTCTGGCCAGAAACCCACAAAAATGAACTCACCAATGCAGGTGCAGTTCTGCAGAGAATCCAGCTGGAATTCTGCTGGCTGGACTCAACAGGAAGCAGCAGAACCGGCTCTTGCTCCTGGCTGCCCAGTCCCTGACTCCATGCTGGAAGGAGGTTCAGAACTCTCCCAGCACAGGAGGGGGAAAAGGCAGCAGACCAATAAGATCAGAGCTGGGGCCAACAACTCTGACACTGTCCAGACCACAGCGGGCCTGCTGGGGACCTTCCCACCCTCACTGAAGGAGTGTTCTGCACCTCAGTGTTTTAAAACATAGCATTAGCCCTTAAATCCTGAGCATATCTATTCAGAATTAAGTCCCACTGAGGTCAGGAGTACAGTTTCAATCTTACTACCACATAGGAAGCAGTGGCTTCTGTGCTTTCAAGTTATGCTCCTTTATCTTTTAATAAATATATGCTCCTTTTTAGATTATTATAACTTCTTATGAAATGTTTATAAAAGTATAAAGTACATTTTATATGCTCTGACCTTGCCTATGCACGTCTCCAAGACGACTGCTATGTGTTCACACAGCAGCCACACCTTCACTGCCTGTTTCAGCCTGCTCCAACCTGCCGCCCTACAGATCAGGTGGTGGGCAACTTCTTTGGGCTGCAGGTGCATTTGGCTGCTTGAGAAATTGCCATGCGCATCCACACAAAGTGGCTGCCATGCAAGGAGCAGCTGGCCGCCTTGGGCAAGAAACTGAGCATGAGGCAAAGATGGATTCTGAGGCACAACACCCTACGTTGCCCCTTTGAAGCCAATTTTCAGCACCAACAGATACCCATTTCACAGCAATTTCCGCTGTTGCCAAATAATATCTGATGATGATGATGATGATGGTGGTGGTGGATTGCTTAAGTGGGAAGGCTAGGGCACCTTGCTAGGCAGACTGACACCCATAGGAACCACATTACCCACCCCTGATCTAATGGTCTTTGAACTAAAAATCACATCATCCTGGACCATTGGCCCCACTGGATGAACATGATGGGACTTAGATTAAAATTGATTGTAGACTAAAACACCTGCAGGTACCAGGCCAGATAAGGCCAGAATACTATGGCACAAAAGGGCACTTCCCAGTCTTTGAGGAGCCAAAATCTCTGTTACTGAAGCCATAGGCTGCTTTTCTGAAACTTAATTGTATGAAACCATTACTGTATTTCAATCCAGGGATGCTTGAGGGAGAGGTTCTGAAGAACAATAGACGACTGCGGTGCTGGTAGGCAGGCTGTTTCTAGGCCAACCACATCAGTGGGAGTTTTCACAGGTGGTAAAAATTCATGTTCTGCTTCAGCTAAAAAAAGGAAGAGGAAAAGTATCAGTGATGGAATTCACGTGTATTCGAGCTAAAGTTATTTTGGCACGGTGACACCAGGCAAGCCAAAGAAGATAAAAAAAGCAAGCAGTGTATCCTTTGCTGCCCTGTGATGCAAACAGCACCATTCATGTTAGAGCAAATGCAAGACAGATATCAGTTCCTGCATACCTTGAAACTGTTTCTGTAGGGGGTATGCAGAAAAGGGCCTGCCTCAGGTGAGGAGGCCAGCTGCAAGAACTCTGGCACTGGAGGCAGGCTCTGGAGATGCAGCCTTGCCAAGCAAGTACTGGTGGATCTGCTTTTGGTGTTGCTGCCATTTATGGGATCCATCCAACAAGCGGATCCTGCAGCTGGACCTCTGCCCCTCTCCTTTTCCCTGTACCTCCCTCAAAGCTGCTCTGGGGGATCCCTCAACATGCCGGAACTGATTCAGGGGACACAGGAAGAGGGGTGGTGCAAGGCAGAAGCTCTTCCGCCAGAGGCAGCTGTTCCACAGGTAGAGTGACACCCTTGCACACAGCCCTGCCTCTTCTAGATGGAGGCTACAAGAGCAGCTTGCTTTTAAGCCTAACCCAACAGCAAGCAAAGAAAGCCCGAGCTGCACAACTTGCTGAGGCTCAGCCAAGAGTAAGGCCGACAAAGCCGTCTGCAAACACCTAATTTAATGCATTCTGTTCCCGAAAACCCCACAGAGCCCGAGCTCAGCTCGTCTTGGTCTCCCACCCTTCAGGATAAGAGATGGCAACAAGATTGGGTGACGTGGTCTCCGTGACTCACTAAGGCTTCTCCCGCACCAGTTGACATGGAACTGCTGGTGGTATTTTTTAAATGTTTTGGATTTAGCACCAGTGCAGCAAATCAAACATACAGGAAGGTCCTGGCAGATGTGATACAGTGCAAACAGCCTTCAAAATACCACTGCTGCTTATGATACAGGCTTATGAGCTTGTGTACATAAACTGGTAGGGTGGCCACAATTTCAAGGATATGTAATAGGGGAGAGGAGTGTGACCACTGCTTTCACGCCAGCGTGTCTTACTGTACCATCGCTTTCAGCAGGGTTTCCCAAATTGGTGTCCTCCTGATGCATTGGACTACCATCCCCATCATCCACAGCCAGCATGTCCAAGAGGACTGGCGGGCACCATGTTGAAGAAGGCTAATCCAACCTGGGTGGGGCCGAGCATAACGATCGGCTTGCAACCTCAAAAGGAACTGAGGCATAAAGTCACGTTATAAATGGCACCCTCCTTTAAAATGAGGCTTCGGGAAGAATGCAATACAAAAGGGCTGTAATTGTTAATAATTTATTGAGAAAATAGAAACAAATTATAATTAATCAACAAAAACTGCCCAGTCCTCAACAAGTTGCAATCATGCAGGGATTTTCTTTTTGTTCCCATCTGTAGAATCAGTCCCCAGCTCAATGTGAAGCAAAAAGCCAGGAAACTGTCCCAGACTGAGCTTTGCTCCAGGTATCTGGCCTTGCGAGCACCAAGCGGCAGCAGCCTCCAGGGTTCCAGGCAGGCTGCAGACCGAGCCTGGCTCTTCCTGCATGCAAAGCAGGGCCTCTGCCTCCTTGGCCTAGAGCCCGCGCACAGAAGGCCAATGTATGACGGACTTACTACTGTGCAGCTGGGCCTCGGCCACGGAAGGAGGGGAAGCATCCTCTGCATCTGCCTCTACCAGAGTTCCAGGCTGCTTGTTGCAGAATTCCCAGCGCTTCCTCTGCAGCTGTTGTAACCAGTACATCATGGCCTGCTTGTTGACGGCCTGCAGTTCAATTTCCCAAAGAAAAGAACAAAGGTCAACACACAGTCTTCCCAGTTCATGTAATGCCTAAAGTTATGGCTGACTACTGCCACCGATTCTATGGCATAACGTCCTGGGCTTTGGAAAAGCTGGCCCACCAAACCTTTTTCTAGGGAGGAACTAGGAGGGTCAGTCCATATCAGTCATATCCCCTGTCTGTTTTTTGCTTGGGCCAAATTGGTGGTGTTGTATCCGAGGAGGAGGAGGAAGAGGAGAGAAATCACCAGAATAATTATATTTTACATCCTGCTTTCTGGTACCTGTTTTATAGACCATTTTACACATCTGTTCTATCACTTGCACCAGCATTGGATTCAATCCTGGGCCTGATTCAAGGTGTTGGAGCTTACCTAGAAAGCCCTAAATAGTTTGGGGCAAGACCACCTCTTCCCATATGAATCTGCCTGCAAGTTGCAGTCATTATCTGCATCCCTACAGTATGTTCCCCCACCAAGAGGTTCAGTTGATGGGAACATGGGAGAGGGTCTTTTCCATGGCAGTACCCCAATTATAAAGCTCCATCCCAAAGAACATTATACAAACCCTATTGTAGATGACATTTAGAAAAGCAGTGAGAAGATTTTAATTCTGCCTGTCTCTTACTGGCTTTTAATTTGAGACTGTTTTAATCTGCTCTTCTTGGTTTTAATGCTCTTTCCTTGGTTCTTTTTAAACGGTTTTGTGGGCATTTGTTTTGCAAACTGTGTTAAGTCATAGTTTCCCTGCAAAGGATAAGAAAAATAAGAAAAAAAGATGTTCCCGATACTGAGGTCAGTCTTTAGGTTTAATAATGAATTCATTAGAGAACTATTTTTAAGGAAATTTCCTGAAGACAAGAGCTTCCTCCTCATCACTGATAATCAAGGGATTTTGCAAGGGGAACACAATGTTGTGAAGGCAATGCACATAAAGGATCTGGTATTGCTCAGCCATCCTTGATCGTTGCCACTAATAAAAAAGCAAAAGAAAAGACACCAAAGGCTGTAGTTCTAACATTTCTGGATGCCCAGAAAATTCCTAACTAAAACCAACAGCCATGCAGTGATGGCTTTGATCCCACAGATTCTTGAAAAAGTTCCACTGCAGGAAAGTTGCTCGATCGGCAAATTTCCAAGGCCTCCATGCCACAGAAGTCCTTAACGCTAGGTGTTTTTTTGCTCTCAGAGTGAGAATATCAACTTGGCACCCATCACGGTTTGTTGGGGTCAGCATCCCTGCTGATCCCAGAACCCAAAGTCAGGAGGGAGCAAAGTATCAGTCAGAGAGGGGTGCAAGGCACTGGGAAAGGACTTAGAGAGAGCCTCCAGCTATGGGGTGGCATACAAATGCAATCAATCAGAAAAGCCAAAGGACAGGTCCACAGAGAAGCAGCAATCTACACTGGGACACATAACTTAGACAGAAGAGCAGAACTGGGTGGCATGGGAAAGCACAACAGGCTCCAAGTGTCCCAATCCAGTGCAGAGTTCACTGGTGGGGCTTGCAGTGCTGGCTAAGGTGGTGCTTCTGGGTAGCAGTTCAGTCTGCAATTCCCCTGGCAGAAGTGGCAGCCCAGGAGACTAACTAGCCTCCCAAAGTTCCAAAACCTCTACTCCAGGAATGGGGAATGTGGGGCCTATAAGATACTGTTGTGGTCCAACACCCATCAGCCCCAGGCAACATAACCATGGGTCAGGGATGAGAGGGCTTTTATTCCAACTATATTTATAGGGCCACAGCCCTGCCATACACAACCCCAGGGCCCATCTCATGCTCGGTTTTACAGTCACTGCCTCTCCCTAAGACAGGTGCACGGCAGGGGCATGGCAGGTGCACAGCAGGTATAAATCCCTTTGGACTTGGCACAGATTAAAATGACTGCCCAAACAGGAGTTTCATCAGAAAGGTTTCTGGGCAGCCCTTTCCAGCCACACTGGGAAGGGTGTCTTTCGGGTCCTTCATTTGAAGAGAGGGTGCAGGTCCCTTCCAGTCGAGCAGCTGGATGCCAAAGTAGCATCTTCACTGGGGAGAGTTCACCTTGTTGCTGAAGAAGTAGCCCCCCCCCGCCCCGAGGCAAGACTCCCCCTTTCCTCCCTGACCCACAAAGGCACCAGTAGGGTGCGGAAGTCCCTCCCACTGTACCTTGCCAACGATCAATGCACACAAGCAGGCTTGCCACACCACAGCTGCCAGGCCCTGCAGGTGCAAAACGGCTTCTTGGCTCAAACTGAGCTGCCAGAAGGAGAGCGGCGAGACACCGAGGCACGCCGGACAGCTGCAACCTTGGCCGCTCGGTTCCCCCCTACTATCCATATCCAGCCATATATCATCACACATACCTTAAGGACAAAGTCTTTGCCAGGGGTCCTGACTTCAAAGACGCCTTCATCTGCTCCCACCTTAAGATCAAAGCTAGCGCTGGAAATGTCTATGTGCCCCAAAGGGGTAATATCTTGTGCTGTCCTGTAATAAAGTAAGTGGCATTTGTTTTCATCATAGAAGAACCAACGTGACTTCCAGGCATTGATGGGTGCTTTAGCAGAGAATTTGTTTAAATAGCCACATAGCTGTTTCTTTGGGGTTTCCTTGCCAGGCTTCAGGCATGTGTTTTCCCAGCCTTCATGGCCAGGAGCTGCATCTCCTTCTGGGGCACAATCGCTGCCACTTCTAGCATCTGCTGCTTTTTCCTCTTCTGACTGATTTGATGTTCCAGGCATAAGGCCATCTTTGACCTCAGAATCCAGATTCATGCTCCCTTGGAGGTCAGATCTTCCGTAGCTGGAGTACTAATGGAGAAGAGAGACAAACAAAAGCAGCTTAAGAAATGTTTCGTAGTAAAATCTAAATTGCACACATGCAAGACTTTCTTTCTCTAATAGCTGCCTAAAGTTAAGCTTCTAGACTGCAACCTAAATGTGAAAGAATCCAAAAGCCAGAAAAGCGACCAATCACACTGAAATGCCTGTATCAGCCCCACTTCAATGAATGTTGAATGTTGACTTGAACATTCAAGTCATGTTCCCTTGACTGAAATGCTCAGATATCGCTCTGTTATTGAAAGGACTCCAAAGGTCAGCGTCTTACCAACTTCCTCCCGCAAGTCAGAACCGCCACTACTTCTTCTCCGACAGCAGAGAGAGACAGAGAGGAAGGTTGGTTCCCTGTGCACACCCTCATGCAAACGTTTGGCACAAGCCTTTATTGGCTTGCCCCCCACTCCCTGGGCGATCTGGGCTAGATTGCCTCCAAAGGAATGCCACCCTTTGCGGGTGGGGTGGGGGACAGTTCACTGCCCTTGCAAGAGAAACCTTGGTCTCCCGATTGCAGTACCATTATAAAGTACCACAGCTGTTGTTGTGAGGGTTCACTTTACTCCCATTTCAATGAATGGTTATCAACTGGAGCCAAAAAGCTCCAGAGGTGTGCAGGTGAGAGCCGATTACTGGTAAATTCATTTCAATTATTTATTCATTTATTTATTAAAAGCATTTCTATTCCATCGTTTACCAAGGTCTCAGGATGGGTAGGAATTCATGGCTAGGAATGGAAGGATTAAGCTGTTCCTTCCTGCCTAGAAGTCCTAATAAGAATCAGAAACAGCCAACTGTAAAGAGAGGGAGCAGCGGGGATGTAGTTGGCATTTGACCTTGGAAAGCAGACTTCCCCAACTTGGTGTCTTTCAGACAGGCTGAGCTGCAATTCCCCGAATCTCCCAACTATCCGGAGGGTATCATGCTGGGGAAGCCTTTGCACTCTCTTACTTCTACGCACTTTTTCTTTTGCTTCCAACAGCAAGCGTGTTTGTATTTCCACACACACACACACGCTTTGCACTCCCTGGGCACGCACAGCCGAAGTTAACTATTCCGCCGCATCACATCGGGAGAACTTCACAAAGCTTTACTCCACGATCCACGCGCCTAGCCTGCAAGATACCACAAGACTCCGCGTCGTGTTTAACTGGTGCCCCAGTGATTCAACGCGGCGTGACCAGCCACCAGGCAGGCACAAGAGGAACGACAAGCCCTATCATGCGCGCACAGACACACGCTCTCTCTCTTTGGATGCGGCGGGGGTCTCCCCACAGCACAGGGCGCGCCTTACCTCCGTCCAGCTCTGCAGGCATTCCCCAAGCAAGCCAGCGAGGCGTCCTGACTTTCTGCCGCCCCGCAACCGCACGACCCGCTTCCTGCCGCGGCGGGCGGGCGCCGACAGATCATGCGGTGCAAGCGGGCGCCGCTTCCTGGTCGGTTCGGGGCGGGGCGGTGCCAGGCGCTGCCGGCATGGTGCGGTCCACCGCTGCGCTCCACCGCTCTGGGATTGGCTGGAAAAGAGAAGGGAAGGCGCGACCTCTTAAGGGCCGCGTGCGATGCTTCCCCAAGGCGAGTGCCTCTTGCAGCCCGATTCGGTGCTGCGATGGACTCTGCCGCGCTTGCTCCTTGATTTTGCCAAGCCAACAGAAGAGTCCTGTGATGCCTTGTGGACGGGCAAATTTTTCATGCTGTAAAATGCACTACTGGCAACTTCACCGGATGCTAATCTCCACTTGGCCATGAAGCCCGGTGAGTTGTTTTGGGCAGTCGCTCTCTCCCAGCCTCACCTACCTCACAGGGCTGTTGTTGTGGGGAGAAACCTGGAATGGAAAAGTACTAAGTAAGTCACCTTAAAAAAATGATGGGATATAAATGCAACGTCTTAATGACAAGTGCCACAAAATTCTAAATGGTTTTTGCTCCTAACACGCCTATCCTCTGGAAATCATGATTTTAGGGCATTCATTGATCTAAATAAAGGTATTGCCCAACTGGATGGAAAATTCGTCCACGTTTGCTTTTTCTTATCTCGTGGTTGCGGAAAGGTCGGACACGCTCCTTGCGGGCAGCGGGACGCAGAACAAAGGCGGGTAAGGGCATAATTTGATGCGTGCTGCAAGAGAAGAGACGTCCCGCAACACAGCCTTGCGTGTTGGCCGGGGACTGCCGGAAGCTGTAGGCCTCTTTTTCCCGTGCAGTCGTTGCACTTTAAAGGAACTGCTTGCCAAGAGTCGCGCTAGGATGAGATCTGGTTCGTTGCGATGTGCGGAATGTGCTCTTGCTTGCCATCTTGCTTGCGCTTCTGGAAGAGCACTGGTCACATAAAGAGGAAAGGTCGCTCTTCTTCGCTACTTGCAAGCCCAGGCGCGTAGCTTCGCGACGACGCCCTTGGTAGCACCAACGAACACACGATTCTGTGCCTGTCTATGCAGAAGTCAGAACCGTTCAGGGTGAAGAGGGCTTACTCAAGGTGCTTTACTCATAGGTTTGCCCGCGAGCCAAGGCCTGCGGGTCCTGGAGTGACGAATCAAAATTTAATGGATTGCCATTGTGCGGATACTTTTTCTGGAAGCCTAATTGGCAGAAAGTAACACGGTTGAGTCATGAGACAAACGCGGCTGAGAAATACGGGGAAACGTGGCTAGGGGTTGGAAGGAACCTGGTACATGGCTTGACAAATCTTTACTACAGTTGGAATCAGTTAATTTTATTGGCAAGTAGTAACAACGTTAAAGTGTTCGAAGCACTCACACACCATCTAGTAATCTAGCAAGCCTTGTAAAGAAAAAATTGCTTATTATCTGCATATTTGGGGGTAATAAGGCTAAAGCTGAGAAACACCATCTAGTCAGTTCATGCAGGGCTGTTTAAAGGGAATTTTTAAGGGGAAGTGGGGAAATGAACTCAAATTTTATAATCAAGTGAAAGAACATTTTAATCCACTTTAAATAATGGAACATTTTAATTTAAATAAATGTCATAAAACATGCTTTAATAACCCATTATTGCAATTTAAAGAAACTTGGCATTTACATTTCATTAGAAATGTCCAGAACAGCAAAATAATTTGTTTACACATTTCTGCTCAGCATAAGCCTCTGAAAAAGTCTGATGCAGTCTCTTGCCTTTTTGCCTCTTGCTTTTCTTCAAATACAAACCAGGGACAAGCAATATTAAAAGGACACTTAAGAGGTTGGGATTTTGAATTTATGAGGTGGATTTCTTTATATAGAACAACACCATGAGTTCATAGAAGTTGAAAAAAGGGACCTGTCTTTGTGGTTAACAGATCCTGAGCAGGCTTGTTGTATTCATAAAGATTTCTGAAGAAAAAGGAAGGGTTCAAATCACAGTTCACCTCCTCAAGATTCTTTAGGGAAAAGCCATGGTAGTTAAGCTGGCATAACACTGAAACCTGCTTGCATGGTGTAGACAGGGCTCAAGAACTCATGCAAAGATGATGGCTTCCTTACATGGATATAATTCTTTCTGTGAAGAAAGTGACACAATTGAATATGCACCAGTTTGGCCATATGTACACACTCTTCATGATTTCCTAGAAGATTTAAAACAAGTTTTGATTGATGCTAGATTCTGAACAGAGGAATTGTGATTTCCAAAACGACTGAGTTTCTAATGGTCCTAGGAAAGTTGTAATGGCAAATGCTTTTCTTGGAATCACTGATTAGTTCTTGCATTAAATCTTACCCTCTAAAACAGCCTGAATTGGTCAAGAGGACTGATATGTAACCCAAGAAATATCAGATAAAATAGCAAATGGAGGCCAAGTGGAGTGTGTGGAAGCTTTAAAACAGAGATGTCCAACCTTTTGGTTTCTCTGGGCCACACTGGAAGAAGAAGAATTGTCTTGGGCTACACATTAAATACACAAACACTAACAAAAACTGTTGAGCAAAAAAAGGTCTGTGCATAGTATTCGTGATATTATACCACCACAGATAAGCAAAAAAGAACTCACTTTATTTATTTATTTATTTATTATTTATTTATTTGGGATATTTCTAGCCAGTCCAATCACTTTTCATCTCTGGACAGCTCACAGCAAAATCAATAAATACAACAATATAAATATAAACAACACAAATACCCCAAACAATAATAAACTAAATATCCCATGACTGAAATAAAAATAAAATAAGTATTTAAAATAGTTAAAAATAATTATAAAAATAATTAAAAACTATTAACATACTAATCCTAATTATGGAGTGCCCCATTTGGAGAGTCTTTTAAAATCATCGAGCAGGTCCCAAATTTGAACATATAGAAAATGAACATAAGTAAGCAATAAAACTTCATTGATTTTTTAACATTTTATTATAAAAGTAAAAGAAAAGAGGGCAACATAAAATGAGTGGGATATTTGACATTGTATCTGAGAAACTAATGCATCAATATCTGGTTCGATGGAAGTGGTAGCAATTCTCAGAGAGCTCTCAAGGTGCTCATCAGATATTTTGGTTCTAATTTTACTCTTAGTGTGTTTCATTCTTGAAAACAGTTGCTCACAAATGGAAGCTGCACACCACTGTAAAACTGAAGCCACATATGTGTACAAATAGCAAGACCATACGTACATTTATTTTATGTGACATGGCAACACGACGTTGTCCTCAAAGTTCATGCTCGTGAGCCACACAATCGAGTTGCAAAAGAAAATCTCATAAAAATCTCATAATGCTTTAAGCAAGTTTATGATTTTGTGTTGAGTGGCATTCATAGCCATCCTGGGCCTCTGTGTGGCTCGCTGGCTGTGGGTTGGAGAGCCCTGCTTTAAAACAAGTAGAACATTTTTCAGCCCAGGGTCCAAATTCCAATTCAGAGAAGCTTTCAGGGCCATGTTACAGTGGAAAGTGAGGCTGAAAGCAAAGGGGGTACAGCATAAAGTACCCTCAATCCCAGACTATTTTAGTGAAAAAAATTTTCTTTAGGAAATAAGTCTTCAGAGAGTCATGATGTCAGCCCAGAGTAAAGAGGTAGGGCCAGCTGGGGAACCTCAGATTTGTTTATTGCAGTGTTGGGGACTCATAAATGGCCTTATAGCAGCTGAGGACCTGGTTACAGGGACAACTGCTAAAGGGAGACTAGATCGGTATTAGTGGGCCTGTACTGCAGATGGGGAAAAGATGCTTAATGGACAGCAGAGGGAGAGAGAGAATCAGAACCTGACTGAGTTGAATAATGGCACAGCTTTGCTTAAAAAATCGTGGTTGAAGCAAAGGACTTTAATGCATCCCTGAGGAAGTGCATATGGGGACATTGGGGGTTACAACTCTTCCCCTCCTCCCACAAACACCCTACCACCACCTCCCTTTTCTCTGTTAATTTTGGCTCTTAAGACTGGACTCAGAAATTTCTTGCAGTGATTTGAAACTTGACTTGTACTTGAAAGTAAAGACTTGAGACTTGACTCGAGACTTGGAATAAAGGACTTGAACACATCACTGGTTTTCTGAGACCTCAGGAGGGACAAATTTGGCCTCTGGACCCAGGGCTTTGCACTCCTGCTTTAAGATAGGATTGTGATATGGCCAGTTTTTACCTTGTGCTCAAATAAATTACCAAAATAAATCCTGAAGAGTGCACATTAATTAGCAAAGACTGTTTATTTCATTTCATTTTCTAATGTAGAAAGAAACAGATGAGACAGCCTAGGAACAGTGAAGCAGAACATTAATCTGTCATCCAGGTATACTAGACTGGCAGGCAGAGGGAAGGAATGTCCCATCAGAGAGTATCCACCAGTCAGTCCCTCAGGTGAGATCTAGCAACTATACAGGAGATTAAACTCCACCATAAATCTGGTCAGCAGCAGCCTCTTGTGGCTGTAAAGAAGCACTGCAGAAAATATCAATCCAGTGTTTTTATGGTTCCCAGAGCTCAGCTCTTCCAACAACGCACCCCAAACCTTTTATAAATGGGGTATGTTTTGGGGTGGGATATACTGGCAAGCACACTTTGCTCTGAGGCAGATGTGTACAGATTGGCTCCATCAGCCCCCAGAGCCATGGCTAGGTTTTCTCCAAGTTCACATCCAGTCCTCCCAGTATCACTCAGGGTAAATCTGAGAGTATTTTCTGGGCAATGAATGCTGAAGCTTCTGGGATTCCCTTACTGCTTGGCTATAGTGGAGGCTGCATCGGACCAGTCCATGATCCCTCCCTTGGGATGACAGCACTTTCCCACTTTTCCAACATTCCTATGTTCTGGTGAGCCCAGAGTGATGGATGATAGCTTACATTTTCAAGGGACACGTCAGCCCCTCCCCTGTGATCACAATATAGTCAAGCACACTGTTTGGGAATCACTAGTCAACAGAGATGGGGCTTCATCTAAAAGAGGAACAACATTCAGAGCTTAATTTGCAAGGTGTCGTTAGGCAGTGAGGCTTCTATTCATCTGACTGAGGGCATTATCAAGAGATGGCTGCAATCCTATACCCACTCATCTAGTGTGAAGCTCACTTGAAGTCACAGAGACTTTCTTCTGATCAAACATGTGGAAGGTTGTGCCATGGATCTTAAATGTACTGCTCTAAACAAAAACAAAAAAACTTTGTATCTGTTACCTGGCTTAAAATCTGCTGTGTTACAAAGGGTGCAGTCCAATCAAGACAGCCCTAAACCTCAAAACTTGGAGGAATATGAGCATCCCATGCAGAGTGGGAATAAGAGTGGAGGCCATCTTCACTTCCACCTCCACATTTCTGCTGCGTGGCCCTTTTTACCCATCTGTTTGGGGCAGATCAGAGGCAGATGGAACCAGATAGCAAGGTTCTTTGCTGGCTGTGGCGGGAGGAGGGGGGATTGAGGTTCAATTTCCAGGTCTGAGGTTGGTTCTCAATCTGCATCCTTAAAGCTGGGAATCTGACTGATCTCATATCCCGCCCATTTCCTTCTCAAAATGTCTGAAGGACATAGGATCCCTCCCTGAAAGTATTTCGTTAGCAGGAACATGGTACAGAGCAAAGGGCTCATCTCATTATTATGCAGAAGTCTTTATTCACAATCTTAATACTGCAGAAAGACTGGTATGGGACAAGGCCATACCAATCTATCAGAAACATTTCCCCACCTCCCATGTTGATTGATCAGTGCTGAATGTTACTGAAATCTTATCCACTTTGTGCATCTTGGTTGGTCCTCATACTGTATTGTCTTCCATCTCAATTTAGAGTACAGTGATGCCTCATATTTTGAACATAATTTGTTTCAGGAAGCTGTTTGAACTTGGAATCATTCAAAGTCAAAATCAATTTTTCCCATTAGAAATAATGGAAAGTGAATTAATCAGTTCCCGGACCCCAAACAATAACCATTCCGATAAACAGCAAATATGCCCCCCTGAAACAAATTACATTTGAAGTATGAGGCACCATTGTGTTAGAATTTATGTTATTAATGTTATGCTAGTGCATTTACTGTACTTCAGTGAGGAGTGATTTTATATATATATAACCAAAAAATAAAGCGAAAAAAGCACTGAAAACGCACAAGCATTATGCAAGAGATGTTTCACAAGACTTGGGCGCACAAAAGCTAAGGTTTACACTGCGACTGCATTTTTTTCACTTTATGTGCAGTTTGAGTTCAAACTTCAGAGCAATTTTATCTCAACTTTAACATTTGAACTCTGGATCATTTGAAGTTAGAGTCATTCAAAGTACAAGGCACCACTGTATTTATATCAGTCATTCCCCAAATTTGGATCAAGCCACATCCATTTGACCAGAGAACATCTAGCATGTTGCAAGAAATGAATTGAATAATTCAAGGCTTGTTGAAATGTAGGAATGTGAAACATGAATCCTAGTAGAATACTGAGCAAATTCCCACTACTTTGTTTTCAGGGACAGCATGTTTATTCAGAAAGCCACTTGGATGGCTGGGGAACACAGGGCTTTTTTCTACCTAAGCATGGGTAATGCTGACCAGTCTTCTAGAATTTGACACTATTTTTTGTTCATTATTCTTTCAGGTGTAAAACAAAAAAGCTCACCTGCAGAGTATTTGTTATTTTCCTCCATCAGTTTAACTAGCTTTTTAAAATTAAATTGTTCGTTGTTTAATCTTAAGAACTTGCTATGTAGCAAAATGCTAAATCGCTGCATTTCCTCAACCTGGTGCCTTCCAGATGTGTTGAACTATAGCGCCCAGAATCCCTGACTATTGACCCTGCTGTCTGGGACGAATGGGAATTGTCGTACAAGCCGTCTGGAGGACGCCGAGTTGGCTTCAATCCTAACATTGCTTGGAATAATAGACGCGATACGATTTGTATTGAGCATGCGCATTGTGGGCTGTGCTGCCCTTTCTCGGTGTGGCTTCTGAATATCATTTGAGCATGCGCTTTTGCCAGCGGAACCGTCCGTATGCTGTTTTGGCTTCACGATCGCACTGCGCATACTCCACGTTTGCTTTGCCCACACGCTAGCAACATGGCAGGCGCGCGGCATTTTTAGTCAGGTTACCCGCGTGCAATTGGAAGCCGCTTGTTGGAAGGTAAGTGTGCAGTGCGGATCTCGGAGAAACTCTGTTCGCCCCACTGGCAGAGTCTGCTTTCACACGTCAACCTCCTTATACACAGAACGCAGGTAAAAGGGTAGGGTCCTTCTTTAAAAAAGGCACTGCCCGGCCATCCCCGCCCTTTTTAACAGCGATGTTAAGAGCCCGGTGCAGTCCTGGAGGGCAGAAGGTGTTGAAATAAATTCCCAGGTTACCGAGTAACCCCCCTTGAGCCTTCCGGATCGGGGTAGTGACGGTGGTGGAAAGGGGCAGGAAAGTAAGGAAAGCGGATCTGCTGGGTCAGGCCAAAAGTCTGCTTCGTGCAGAATCCTGTTTCTTCCACCAGTGGGGAGACCGATTCTCCCCCGAAGCCCCCCGAGCAGGACATGAAAGCAACAGCAGCCCTTGTCCGGTCCCCTTCCACATCTGAGGGAGCATCAGTGTATTAGTCTGACTCATAGCCAATGATAGTCTTCTCCTCCTCCGTGAATTTGCCTCGTCCCCTTTTAAAGTCATGCAAGTGCTCACTATAACTTGTGGCTCTGATTTTAATGAAGTGTCACAGGACTCGCATGTCTTCCTTCTGGCCCTGCATCTGTTACTAAGCAATTTCAGAGAGTAAGTTCTAGTATTAACATGAGTGAATTCACCTCTCAGTTTGGCAGGTGAAGTCAGTGCTGGGCTGAAGAGTAAAGGATGAAAAAAAGGTTGGGTAGCACAGCAATAGGATCAGAAAATGTTGGCTATCCTCGACAAAGTTCCTCCCAACCTGCTCTCTTTAAATGTCCCTACATTTTATCTTTTGCTGCTAGTACACTGGAGAGTTTGCAGGGCTTGGGGAGATGTGAAGTTAGGGTCCTGTCACTGTCCCCTACATGGGTGATTGGGGATCTGGTGAGTAATGCGGAAGGGTTCATGCCCCCACCCCTCATTTGCTTTGCTAAAATTGCTCCCCGGAACTTGTAAGGAAAATCTTGAGCTGCACAATTGTATGGCATTGTGATCCATTTGCATAGGGCATGCTGCTGTAGTACCCCTCTGTATTTTCCATGCGTGTATGTATGTGCAGGCACATAGGTTTTGTTGCTTAAAGTCACATTCCATGACATTTAGAAGCCTATCAAGGTGCACCCTGACATTTCTGAAGTGGAAATTTGATAGCACCATTGCAGAAGGGTTTTATATTTAAGCTTTGTACAAGAGGCATCATGAACACCAATAAAACTTTTTTTGTGGTGAGGGATAAAAACACAATAACTACAAACAAGGGAAGATAAAGTTAACAGATGTACAAACACACTGTAATACTCCTTGTTAAGAATGTCATATTGAAACTTTTCTGCCATCACCTCCCTTATCATAATACGTGACTTGTCAGGAAAGGGGTCCCTATCTTCTTGAATGATTTTCCTCGTCTTGGAAACATTGGAGAAACTGTGGAGATTAGTAGTGGAGTCTGTGGGAAGTGTCTTGTTAGGCAGAGGAGAAATGGGCCTGTTTGCTTAGGGTTACAAGTTCTGGAGAACTTATTTACATATTTTGCATATATTCTGTTTACATACATAAAATATACATTTTTATTTTTCACATTGTTGTTGGTCAATGTTAACATTAGTTAACATAATTTTAATTTTAATTAACTTTAATTTTGAAATGTACAAATTTTCCTTTGTAACCTATTTTTTTCTTGAAACTCCACATTTTGGGTAAAGTCATGTGTGCATATTAAATAAAGAGCTGCCCCTCCCCACATGAGATGATGGAGCCAAACCCCTCCTTGTCACGTATAGTTTTTTCCTCCATGTTCAGTTCTTTTGATCTTGTAACAGTGTGATGGGATGTTAGGAACTGACTTTCGACACTGAACTCTTACAGATCTAACAATACATCCATATATTCATATTTGAATATTACAATGTCTGAATATTAAAAATAACACCTGCATCTTGTTTTTAGGGGTACTTTGTTACTTTGATTTCCTCTTAAGGTGAGGAGACACCTCCATTTTCTTCTTTTTCAGGTGTGTGTACTGAGGACAACATGAGAAATCTAATGTTAGTGAGAACACAGGCATGTCAGCCAATCCAATCTCTTGGAACTCCCCAGGGTTTCTCTCTCCGTTCAGACCGGGGGACCTTATTAATCAGCACAGAATATGGAATTGTGGAACTGGATCCTGTCACACAAGCGGTGAGGCATCATATATCAGTTATTGCTTTATGTTCTGAGAATTGTTTGTCTGGCCACTGCTGTGTAAATAACATTGATTGGTACTGGCTACCTTTACTTTTACCCTTGGCATTTTGTAGGGCTACTTAACTGTGAGAGTATTTGGGCATAAGAAACTTGCAATTCGTATGCCTCACAATGACATTCTGTGTATCACAGGCCTGCTTATATCCATGTTATAGTACTTCTTTTCCACTCCACAGAGATAAAGTTTCTTTGAGGTGTTAAAAACAGTTCAGAGTTGATGCTTGGGACATTTCATTTCAAAGGACATAAACATGCAGGCAGCCTTTAGTAAAGTTTTTGTTGAAATTATTAGTTTTTTGCAGGGTTCAAAGTTATCAATTAATATAAGACTTAAAGCAGTGGACTTCAAACTTCAAGTTTGAGGGAAACTTTCCCACTCTGGTTCGTCCACTGAGGAACCAACTTTTTGAGGCTGTGCTATAGAACCTATGCACTTTGCAAAGGATTCTGGGGTACTACTCTGAAGTCCTACAGCTAACGCAAGAGGCCATTTGAGCTTTGCACTTTTCTGTCATGCACCAAAAGTGCCACTGTTTTCCCTTGTGCCTATGAACTGAGAGAAAGGTCAGTGGTGATGAAGCAGCGAGCTTTCACTACATTTTGTCTGGTATTACTGACAGTAAAGACAGACTTCCAAGAAACTTCAGGATTCTTGAGAACATAGTTTGAAAATCACTGCATTAGTTTTACATTTTTTTCCTTTGGATGCCTAATTATTGACCCAGTTCTGATGTCTCTTATGTGGCAAAGCAACTAGAGAGCATTCACTCCTGCTGGCCTTCTCTGGCAAAATCCTAATAAAAGGACAAACTTTTAAATCAGTCAATTCCAAATATGACAGACAATGGTGTGGTGTTTGAAGGGGTTTCCAACATGGCACCCAGATAACTTTTAACTTTTTATGTTATTACTTTCCATTTATTATATACAGACATAAGTAGATTGTATATATCTGTAGCAAGGGGATCATATGAAATGCATGCAGCTTTCCAGCAGTTGTACATAAGCATCAACAGAAGTAGACCAAATTCTGAAGTAAGTATCTGTTTGAAGGATTGGATTGTAAGGTCTTCAGTCCATTGCATTATAGGAAGTGAGTACAGTATTTATGTTTCTAGTCTTGTAATTTCAGCCTTTTAGCTGTCAAAAGGACATGGAGAATCAATTTATATCTACCATTTGTTCATTTCCATGAAGCAGGTAAATAATTTAAGAATTGTGTACATCAATGAATTTTAAAGACCTTTCAAGCAGAAAATTTATCTGTGTACTAACCTCCTCCCAAAAAGAAACAACTATGGAACATGACCAAAATATATGTATAAAAGAAGGCTTAGCTATATTGCACTGTCAGCAATCAGCTGAATTAGACAATCTCTTGTTAAGGAGATATTGCAGAGTACAATAGACATGCAACAAAAATTTTTGCTGAATAAGACACAGCCTAAGATTCATCAACATGCCCAAAGTGGGTGCCAACGTGGTGATGTACCAGTGAGGTACCTGGAGGTGGTACCTACAGCAATGTCTCAAATTCCCAAATGTTTCTACAGGTCCAAAAATAAAAATAAAAATTGGAGACCCCTGATCGAAATATTACCAATCCACATGTAAAGAGATTATTCTCTATGCATCTGCCCAATGAAGAAGTGTGCTTTATTTCATTTAAATACTCTGAAGCCAGAACACTTTACAGCATAGAAATGTGTGGACCTGTTTGGAGTAGCAGCTATAAATAGGTGTCTTTTAATCCGCTTACTGGTGCCAGTCTTTGCTTCAACTCCTGTGATAGAATCAATTTGCAGCACAGGAGTGGGCAACTGTTTGATAGCCCCTTCTGTTTTGTTCCTGTGTTGAAGGTTGCAAATGAAGTTGTTTTGACAGTGGAAGGTTTCCTACCGGAAGATGGAAGTGGGTGCATTGTTGGCATTGAGGACCTTCCAGATCAAGAGTCTGTCTGTGTGGCCACGGCAGCTGGAGATGTCATACTGTGCAATCTGATCACAAATCAGGTATGGCGGAATGGCAGGTCCGTCCATGCAACCTCCAGCTGTGCCAGTGTAAGGCACAGTGCAGATGTTCTTGCCTTGAACTCAATCCGAGAGAGCCAGCGTGGTGCAGTGGCTAAGAGCGTGGGACTGGGGCTCGGGATCTGGGTTCTAGTCCCCACTCAGCCATGGAGCCAGCTTTGACCAGTCACGGTCTCTCAGCCCAACTTACCTCACAGGGTTGTTGTTTTGGGGATGATTGAGCGTATCAGGAGGAAAATGATGTTATAAGAAGTTTGAGTTTGTTATAAGAATAAAGACAGGATATAAAGCTAATTAATTAATTACATAATCCTATGTGCATTTACACAGGAAAGAGTCCTACAACTTCCACTGTGCTCCAGCCAGTGGGAGGCCACAAGCAATGACAGGATCCCTTGTCACTTTAAAAAATATTGAAAAGAAAATTGTACTGGTCTGAGTTGCCTTGGCTTCAGCACAGTTAAAGACCTCAAGGGAGGCTCATGTGCAGAACCGTAGAAATGTCCGTGGGTTTTATGGCAGGATGGACTGGAGCAGGATCCTCACTGGCCTGTCAGACAGATGCCTGATCAGTTATACAATGCTCGCATTGAGCCAGCTGATAAGGAATGCATCATCTGCTTAATTTCTCTGTGTCAGGCTACTGGTAAAGGCAGAGGCGTAGCATGGCCTGAAGAATCACTTTCTCCAGTATCACCCGCCCCAGGAAGGCTTGGCTTTTGGTGCCCTGCAGGAATGTGATTTATGGGGCTACCACACTGAGCAGAGTCTTCTTGGTGGTGACACAGCAAGTGTGATTTCCTTCCAGTGGAGATTTGTGTGTCCCATGCTTCAGGCATTCACAAGCTGATCAAAGAAGCATTTGTTTGTACAGGCTTTAGGAGGTATAGGCAAGTGTTTTTCCGGTGTAAGGCTTTTGCAGTGTTGTAGTGATTATCTTATTGTCTTTCATTGCCTATTTGTATTGTAGAGTTATGATTTTAAGAATGTTCATTTTTTTATATATGGGTTGTTAGCCACCCTGGGCTCTTTGCAAGGAAAGGTGTGATATAAATGCAAATAAATAAAATATAGTCTTTATCCTTTTGCAGCTGGAGTGTGTTGGGAGTGTGGACAGTGGACTAACCCTGATGAGCTGGAGTCCTGACCAAGAGCTTGTGCTCCTTGCTACAGGTGCACTGCAAACTTTAAAATCTAGTATTGTCATTCTCACCCTTTTAGAGCAGGCATGGCACTGTTTCATTACAGAACATGGTTTGCAAAGCAGTTTTGGGAATATGTGGTTTCTCCCTCCGCGCCTAGTGTGAATATTCTTCCATCCCTTTGCTTCCTTTCTTTGCCTTAAACATGGGTTAATGTTTCTGCATGCACCAATGTGCAACCCCAAGCTCAGCAAATTCATCATTTGCTTAAGGAGAGGTTGTTTTGGCCAGCAAAGAATCTGTCTTTCTCCTGTATAGCAGTCAGTGAGTTTTACATGTCTGCATATGGTGATGGGATCTCCTGACAGGACTTGGATTCTGTGGATGTGCTGATTACCCCACTGACAAAAGTCTCTATGAATGAGTTGATGGATATGGTCTCAAGGTTACCTGAAGGAGTGTCTCCTTCCATACTTGCCTGCCCGCCCCTTAAGATCTGGGGCAGAGGCCCTTCTCCAGGTGTCCTCCCTGAAGGAGATTAGGAGGGTGACTACCAGGAGAAGGGCCTTCTCTGCAGTAGCACCCCAATTATGGAATCCCTCCTCAAAGAGGGTTGCCTGGCACTGTCACTTTTTTCAGCGCCAAGCTAAAACCTTTTTATTTTCCCATTGTTTTAAGATCTGATTGTTTTACTTGGGGTTTTATTCTCAGTTGGAATTTTTTAGGATGCTGTGTTTTATTTTATATTATTTTATTGTTAAACCATCCCGAGACCTTGATAAGGGATGGTCTAGAAAAGTTATAAACAAATAAATACGTAAGTGTGGTGTGGAGGTCCTCAAGGCTGGTGCCTCGGGGACTTAAATATTCAGGTCAAGGTTGGCTTGACGGGGTAGCTCAGAATTTCATCAGCTTCATTAGTCAGCCCCTTTCAGTTAATCTCCGGCCAAATGCACACAGCAGGGCATAAGTAGGTTTGGGTTTTGGCAACAGATATATACAATACTGATATGTGTATTGGGACCCAGTAATGTCCAGTAATTGGCATGGACCGAGCATTACTTTATCATTTTTCATCTTCCTGCTCCCTAGAACTGCCGCAGGGGTGATAGGCAGGATTTGGTGCTTCATCCCAGGGAGCTGATGAATCTGCACAGTGTTCTGAGGTTTCTTGGGAGTTTTTTGTAGGCTTCGCTGGTGTTCCTGTCAAATCCCTGGTCTCTGCTTAGAATGAGGGAATGACTCAAGTCCTCAGTACAATCACTCCGAAACTACCCCTGCCTGGTCTTAGGTACCCTGCTCTTCAGGGTAGCTGAGGACAGTGAAGTGACTGAGTCAGTGACTAGTGTGCAAGTAGCGAAAGACTTGGGGCAAGTATGACCAAGCACTGTTAAGAATCCATCTTAAATCTTATTCTGTACTCAGGATGTTGACTTAGAGTTCATACTTCTCCCCCAACATTACATCTGTTCAGTGTTGTCCAGCAGAGCTTCTTTGGGTGGGGAAGGGCCTTGGAGTGACCCCAAAAAGCAATGATTTGAGTCCTCAAAAGGCCACTGGAATCAGTCTTTCGGATGCTCTGCAGATATAGTCACTCGGCTCTGCCAATCTGTGCTCTCATTCCAACAGAGTTGGAGCTAGGTAGGACCAGAATGCCACCTACTCATGCTATCATGGATACTTTTCAGCCTGTACAGCTGATTTTCTTCTCTAGATCTATCTGGTGTTATTTTCAGAGTTGTCCTGATCACCAAGGCATAGGGGCTGGAATTCTGTGTCAAGATGAATATGCTAAATTGGTTAAATCATCTTAGCTGATCTAAGAAGTCTTCATCTGACGCTCTGTTGATGTGTTTGCACTGTGACAGGTGAACAGACTCTTATTCTGATGACAAGAGACTTTGAACCACTTATGGAAAAACGGATCCACCAAGATGACTTTGGTGAAGGTGAGTTGGTGCTGCAGAAACTGGCTGGTCAGAAAATAAATCTGGATGCTCAGAAAATAAATTGTAAGGGAACTGAATGAAGACTGAAAGTCCTGTACCACAGAAATAGATTTAATTGGTCGGCGTGGTTACGGTAGCACTAGCGTGGTGATCTACTTTCAGATATTGAATACTGGAGAGTGTTGGCCTGGAACTTCGGAGATTCAGGTTCTAGTTTCCATTCAGCCATGAACCTCACAGGGTAACTTTGGGCCAGGCACTGAAGTGCAGCCGAACCTACCTCACAGGGTTGAGGAGCAGCATGTAAGCCGCCCTGGGCTCTTTGCTAGAAGGAAAATGGGGTATAGATGAGGACGACGATTATGAATAATAAGGATACAAGGGTTGTGTGCATAGTTAATTTAAAGTGAGCAAGAGTTTAGATGTATGTGTTTTGTATGTATTTTGTATAAGAGCAGGCTTGCTATTGTTGCCACTTTGGGCTGGAAAGTACAGAGCATAGAAGGACATTGTCACTCAGAAGACCAGTATGGCACAGTGGAGAGAGTTTTACCTTGTCTATTTTATATTGCAAGATGCCCTGAGGCCTTTTTTATTTTGGACAAACGTAAATAAAAATCAACAGAGTGTTGGATCAGGACTGAGAAGAGTTTGGTTCAAGCCTCCCTATATGGCAATGAACTTCGCTGTGTAATCTTCCTATTTATCTTTTATTTATTTAAAACTTTTATATACTGTCCTTCGCTAAGTCCCAGGATGGTAATACAATAAAATGCAATAAAAGTACAGCATCAGACATCAAATTACAGCAAATAAAAACACATCTTTAAAACAACAGCAACATTTAAAATAACAGGAAAATAAAAACGTTTTGGCCTGGCGCTGAACTGAAAAAAGTGTTGGCATCAGGCACACTTCTCTAGGGATAATTTAAATTATCACACTGGGTGATTGTGAAAATAAACTGGAGAGAGAGATTAAAAAAAACCTGCCCTGAGTTTTGTGGTCATTGGATAGGCTACATCTGGCCTACCACCACGCTGGCTGCTTCTCTGCTCACCTCTGCCCTCCAGACTAACTGGTGTGTAGCCTCACAGCACGAGTGCAGGCTTTAAAAATGGTGGCAGAACGTGTGTGCGTCCGTGTCTGTGTGGCAGGGGAATTCTGGGAGCTGGGAAGCAAGAGGGCTGCTTCCCCCGCTAAAACAACGTCTGCACACAAGTGTGTCTATATTCCTCTATTGCCCCACGTTTTCATGCAGTTTTTTGTTCTTTCTATGTTTTATGCTGTTTCTGTTTTCTGCCTGGATGTGGAACATTATATAAAAGTTTATAAACAAATAGAAGTATCTCTCTGCCTAAAGTGGTGATTGGGAAGGGTGCATTCCCCCCACCCCCCAGATTTTGATGAATTGTAACTGCTATTAACCATGGCCAGTGTAAAGCATGGTGAGGGATGATGGGAATTGTAGTCTATCAGCATGTTCCTGCATCTAGTTTAGAAACATGCAAGCTACCCAAAAACCTGAAAGGTTACTGCTGGCAATGGGCTAAAATCTTTTCAGTGGACTATTGATCAACCTTTTAAATTGAATCCAAAAGTGTGTACATTATTAAGTCCTTGACAAACGGCAGATTTTCAAATGGGATTGGCAGAATTCTTCCCATACAGTCCTGATGAAATGCTTTATTAACTGGTTTCAGGGAAAATGGGGAATAACCTTAACTGCAGTAAACATTATTTAGAGGTATCAGGGAATGATCAGGGAACACCTAATGCAGCGATAATGCAGAGAAGCATGGGTGGATCTGACCATTCTCTTCAATAAAAGATCACTAGTGAGGAACCCAGTGTAAGAGCAAAACATGAATGTAATATTTCTTTTAAAAATCACTTCTTGCTTGCTTGGGAACAACAAGGTCTTCTACTGGTCCCATTTATGGCTAGGAAATGCAGGACATCCTGTGAGATGCATGGGTAATAATGAGCTTGTAAAGCTTGCAAAAGACTTTGAGAACCAGGGAGTTGCATTAGAGAAGTGGGGGAAATAGCTATTTTTGTCAACTTGCTAATTTTCCAGTTCTCAAATGTTACATTTATCTCATTTCTAGGGAAGTTCATTACTGTTGGCTGGGGTAAAAAGGAAACACAGTTCCATGGATCAGAAGGCAAGCAGGCAGCTCACACGAAGCCAAAGGTAATGCATTCTTTTCTTATAATCAGAAGATCGGTTGTGTGCAAAAAAAAGTATTAAAAGTATGCAGTTGCCAGATGATAGGTATAAAGAAGAGGGGCCCTCTCTGTATACACAAACAACCCATTCATTTTAAAATCCACGCAATAAACAAGCTTGTAGAACTGTTGTAGCAGTTAGAGCAGCGGAGGGAGGAGGTTCAGCCTTTGCCCACCCCCAACCATGGAGCTCACTTCAGGACAACACAGTCACCCAGCTCACATCTGTGTCTAACATTAAGCCAGGATTTAGCATTATGTGCACAGCCGCCTCCAACCCTGAATGAAGCCTCAGGCATATGTGATCCCTGTTTTCCTCTCCTCCCAAACAACCAGGAGGAGGAATAACCTATGACATGTTTCCAATTTTTGACTTGTCGTTTTGTATGTACCAAAATCTTGGTTTAAAACAAACTCTAGCCAGTTGCTAAATGAGCCAACAACTAACCCTGGTTTGTTTGCTAGATTGTTTCACAAAGTTGAGTTGATTTTAAACCAGGATTCCTAGCATGTATGCAGTGATAAGCCAATGACTGGGAAAGGTGGAAAGGCAGGAGAAAGGATAGTGTGAACCTGAGGGTTTGCTCATGCTTACATTGGCTGATGCACATACTGTTAAGTTTTGATGTAGCATTATAGATAGACTGGGCTACATATGCTCCCTTAGCCTAGCCTACCTCGCAGGCTTGTTGTGAGGATAAAATGCAAAGCGGGGAACCATGTATACCACCCTGAATTCCTTAAAGGAAAGCAAGATACAACTATCAGTCTGCTCTACTTTCTCAAAATCACCTCAGCAAATTTGGGTAGAGCCATTCTGCCAAAAGCCCCTTTGCAGCCCCTTCCATTGTCCCACTACAGTGAACTTCCAGCTAGTCCTCTTTCCAGACCTGCCACTCTTCACAGACCGGATGAATTTTTAGCAAGGTTCGGGTGGAACTGGGGCAACAATTGGCATTTTTGGGGTGTGAATTTGGCTCTGGAGTCAACCATTGCTGGTCCCTTATTTAAACATGAAAACATAAATCAATAAATAATAAATGCCTTTAAATTCCTGTTGTCGTTTTAATAAAACCACTTTATAAATTCTGAAACCTGAGAGAACCATGGATTAATACTTGTTTACTTCAAAGGTATTTTATTAAACTCATAAGAAAAAAACAAATTCCTGCAAAGAGGACAAAATACAAATAGACAATAATATTTGAATTCATGAACTAATTTTATTGTTTAATGGTTATTTCTTCGTCTTCTTTTCCTTGCTATTATTTCTAATACAATTCTTAAAATAATGCCATGTACTGACAAGAGTCACATGTCCTGCTGTTTACCGGTGCTTTAGATAGTGTAAAATTTTAAAATGTGAAATAAGAACACTTCATTATTAATGTTAATCTAAAGACAAAACATTTCCTTTGATGTAGTCCATAGTTCTTGGGGAGAAAGATAAAAAAGTGGACTGCATTGGATACCAAACATTTCCTAATGCCTAACTAGAGTGCTGTAAGAAATTTACATTAATGAAGTTATAGCTGTAGAAGCTGTTACCAACTGCCCGGTCTTGAAACAACAACCAGGCTGGAGTCCAAGAGGACTCTATGCAGAATCTTACAATAAGCCATAATCTTACATTTAAGCCAAAATGTCAGGGATCAGCAATTGGCAACATCTGGGCAGGTTTCTACTCCTGGAAGACTGTGCCATGTAGCACACAGTGGCACGAGCACCTTAATTTTTTAGCCATCTTCTTTCTGGAAAGTGAGGGGAGAGGGAAGTAGGTGGAAAAGTACATGTGATTGCAGGGCTAATGGCCAACCATCCCCTCCTGGATCCAGATTAATAGGAAGATAATATTATTTCTCCCAGGAAGCGTTGCCTGTTCTGACATGGGATGACCATCGACCTCGGATCACTTGGAGAGGAGATGGACAGTATTTTGCAGTGAGCGCTGTTTGCCCAGAGACAGGTTGGTATGAAATGAAGACAGTGAAATGCTGTTTGCTAACATTCTTGAATTGATCAAGGGGAAGGGATGGAAATCATGGTGGCCCAAGCTTTACCTTGCAAGCTATATTTTCCCCTGTCTGTGCTCATGCAAATTTATTCCCATGAGATGGAACCCTCACAAGGGGATGTGGATAGGTGTTTTTGTTTTGGCGTGCAATTAAGAAAAAGCAAAAGCTATCTCTACTGCATGCATGGTGGTGGTCAGGGCACCCCAGTGGTATTCCTGAAGGTATCCCTTTCCTTTCTCCCCTATATGTGAGCAGCTGGGAAATACATCAGAGTTGGGGCAAAGCATATCACCATCCTGACACTGTGTTCATGAGTGCAGGGAACAAAAACATATATGGTCCACAAATACAATCCATGGGGTCCCTGTCCACACATGTGTATATATACATGTACATACACACTGCTGCTATAAGAGGCTTTTTGGTATTTTTAATCTAAAGAGAGAAAGAGAAAGTTTCACCGGGTAGACTATGAACAATGAGAGTACAGTTACTCAGAAAGAGTACTGTTCTGTACTGATCTGGGAACGTTCTTTGGAAGGCTTTCAGGGTTAAACATTGCCTGCAAATCCTGAAGCCTTTCTGAGCCTTGTTTTCTTTTTCCCTATGCCTCCTCCCCCCTTTTCAAAATATGCAGGGGCTCGGAAAGTGAGAGTGTGGAGCAGAGAACTTGTCCTGCAGGCTACAAGTGAGCCAGTTCCAGGACTAGGACAAGCCCTGGCCTGGAAGTGAGTAAAGAGCCGCTGTTTGTGTGTGAGGAGTTTGCTCATCATTTCTATATTCCCATCATGGCCTCACCAGCCTGGTATCTTAGGGGTGGTGACTTCAGCATGAGGCTCAGTCCGTGAACTCTCAGGTACAGAAGTTGTGCACAGCCACCTTCTCCAATCTGGTGTCTTCTGAATATGTTGGGCTGCAACTTTTTTCCTGTCTGGGAGTGATAGCAGTTTCAGTTCAGCACATCTGAAGGGTTCCAGATTGGCAAAGGGTGCTGTACACTGTGTTGTGAAGAGGGGTAGAGTACCCTGGGTCCTGTTCAATGTCGTTATATCCAAACAGGCCATACAAAACAGACAGCTCTAAACATAGGCTGTTATTCAGTACAGTGGTACCTTGGCTCATGAACTTAATCCATTCCAGGACTCTGGTCATGACCCAAATTGGTCGTGAGCCAAGTCAAATTTCCCCATGTAAATAAGGTTAATCTGTTCTGTAACAATTTTTTTTTAATCACAAAAAGTTGATGCAAAGTGACAAAGAACAGCAAAGATCGCGGCCACCTCCTCCTCCACCTGAGCACGAGCGTGAGCGCGATCGTGCCCATCATCCCTGCGCGAGCACAACCGCGATCACTGCCATAGACAGGTGTGATTGTGGGCACAGTCAGGGGGGAGGTGGGCACGATCGTGGGCGCGCTGGGTGGGGAGATGGGTGCGATGGCGATCATCACCCAATGTGTAGTTCGCGACCTGACGCAAATTTTTTCAGAAATTTCTGTTTGCGACTTGATTTGGTCGTAAACTGAGGCATTCATGAGCTGAGATCCCACTGTAGAAGGTTCTTGTTGCAGCATCAGTTGTGGAATCATGTGCTGTTACATGTGAACCCTGCACTATGGTTTAACCATAGTTAACAAACAACCCAGAGTTTGCAACCCAACAACAAACAATGGATTTTCTTCCAAGGTTGTTTGAGGTTAACAGCTCATAGTTAAATCATAGTGCAGGATTCGCACAAATGCAAACAGGGCCTTACAAATCAGAATAGCCAGAGTATAGGTTGAGAATGTCATTGACTTGTGGGATGTTTCTGAACTGTGGATTATTAGAGTATTCTCTGTACCCACAACTGAACAACTCTTCAGTCCATGGTTTGAGTTGTCATTTCATGTGAACCAGGCCTATGACAGATAAGTATGAATTGTGGATCCTCTTATTTCCTGACCAAGCTAGGGGCTGTGAAGGAAAGGAAAATTTGATTCTCAGTGGCTGCTGATTGGGCAAAGTAACTGGGTCATCCCTGGAATATGTGGGTCTTCACTCCTCTCACCCTCTCGCCCTTCATCTCTCCTAGTGAACAAAAAGTGTGATTTGGGAATTATTCCCTGAAACATTGCTGCCCTAAAATATTCTTTCTTTCTTGTACTTGAGGCCCTCTGGAAGTTTGATTGCATCTACACAAGATAAAGCCAACAAACATGACATTGTGTTCTTTGAAAAAAATGGACTCCTTCATGGTGAATTTACACTTCCTTTTGAGAAAGGCCAAAACAAGGTAATTTCCTTTCTTGGAAAGTCTGTTAACATAATCATTGTTACTCTGCACACTATATCCTCATGTGTTTCTAAAGCAATTTGCCCGTAATTGGAGGAACCCAAACACGCAGGCTTACACTGTGAGGTATTGTGAAGGAGATTGTAGCTGGTGGGATAATAAGCATTCTGTTGGAAAATGTTGTGGTTAATGCAACAGCCGGATCTACACTTTAGGTAAATGAGCTGCTCTGGAATTCGGATTCTACTATATTGGCTGTATGGCTGGAAGAACTGAAAAGTGAGAACAACGCTGAACCACAGATGTATGGTAAGAACACTGAGTCATTATCTCTTAGGGTTTCAGAGCGGCCTACAGCTAGCTGCGGCCTCCACCAAAAAGCCCTGGTTTGTACATTCCTGGCCTCAGGCCTTTGCATGCCCCCTTCTCTTGGAAGGAGGCCTTGCATAAACTGCACATATAGCAATGTGTGTGGTGTCTGCAGCTGCAATACCTTTTTGGCTTTTCTTCATGCAGGGAGGGGAAAGAGAATTAGAGGTAAGGACCAAGTCTGGCATCTTCCCCATTTGCCCAACAAATTAGTGATCTAGGCTTGCTGCTTAATTTCCCGTCAGCCAGCCTTCAGGCAAAGGATGATGTTGAATGAAAAGGTGGGAGGAGCAGGCTGTTCTGCTGCTACTGGTGCCCAGGAAATGCTTGTTTGGCAAGCTGGTTGGGTGCCAAAACACCAGGGCTGGAATTTCTTAAAACCTTGAAGGATAGGAAGATTCAGAAGTCAGGTCTCTGCTTCCCTAGTTGGGAGCCCCAGGTGCAATGTCCTGTCCCAATCCTGTAACCATGGCCTGTTCTGCGTACAGTTCAACTGTGGACAACAGGGAACTATCACTGGTACCTGAAGCAAAGCCTGCATTTTGGTGGCTCAGAAGGAAGCCAAGCTCTCGTGGCCCTGGCATGGGATCAGCAGCACCCCTGTCGACTTCACCTCCTTGGACAGCACTGGCTTTATCTCTGCTATGACTGGCACTGGAGCACCGACCGCAGCGCTGGCGAAGGGGCAGATGGCACGGCAAGCGTGGCAGTTATTGATGGAGGTATGTTTCCAGTGAGCTGGAGTTTTCAAAGGCAGACAGTGCATGTGGGAAAAGGCCACACGCTGGGATTTGGCCACCTGCTAGTAAATTTTCAATATGTATGTATGTATGTATGTATGTATGTATTCCTTTGCTCCTCACGCACAAACACACCTGTGCTGCACACCTGTACTGTGCTTGCCACAAAAATAATACAAATATGATTGCATGGAAAGGCTCCAGGTTTACCTTGATTCCTGGAAGCATCCCGCTGGCTCCTGCAGAAATAAGGATGCTGGTTCAGGTGGACTTTGGCTTGGTCCACCTAGGCAATTCTTGCATTCTTATTGTGTGAAAATGTGACACTCTCAGATAACCACGGCAGCAGGATTGCATTTATATCCTGTCTTTTTTCTCTTGAGAGGAACCCAAAGTGGCTCGCAGGGCTCCATTTTTTTATCCTCCCAACAGCAACTCTGTGGTGTAGGTAAGGCTAAGTATTTCAAGAAAGTTTCTAGTCCATATGACCACAACTGTGCAGTTCACCAGATAATCTCTGACGCTTGGTCAGGTCTCTGACAGCAGCAGCATACTCCTAGCTCCATGATCCTCCACATGGACAATGGGAGCATAATAAATTATGCAAATTAAGCTGGTATAAAGATATTTGCATGATTTAGACAGAGTTTGGAATTTTCTTTGTGCATTATATATTTTATGAAATTGAAGAGTATACTTAGCCCTGTTTAAGAACTTGCCTATAAGTGTTGCTTTGAAGGAACTCATCAATCCTTTAAAGAAACCTCATCTAAATGAATAATACAGCCACAGAGTTACTAACAACCTATTTTTCTTCCTCTTCCTGTTGTGTTGATGGTGGGTGGGTTCTACTGACACAGAAACATAAGATATTACCCTGTGATTTCAACCATTCTCACAACAACCCTGTAAGGTAGGTTGAGGTTGTTAGTGCTATGTTGCCAACAGGCAGCTGAGTCTTTCTTAAGGCCACCTCGTGAGTTCACAGCAGAGGTGAGATTTGGCCTCTGATTGTCCCTGCTCAGCCTCTTAAGTCAAATGATTATTTTGTCCTTGATGTACGTTGGCAGCTGAACACATGAACAAACCAGCTGAAAAACTAAATTAGCTTTCCATGTGAAAGTTTTCTCTCTAAGGGATGCAGGTTTGAACCTGGCCTTAGCATGGTGCTACAGCCAATCCCACCTGAGCGGAGTGGAAGTGAGAAACTGAACAAACGTCCCCCAGATCTGCCAAGTACCGTTCCTCTGTCTGAAATCCACACAGCTGCTCCTTATCTTCTGACTCTTGTTCGATTTTTAAGAAAGTCAACAATGGTACTGAAGGAAGTACCATTCAGGGCTGAAGGAAGAGCCCAAGGATTGTGTGTCCACCTCTGTATCTCAGTTTCCGCACAGATGCACATTTGGTTGATTTTTCTCTCTCTTCCTGTTTGAAAGACAAGGTGCTACTGACCTCCTTCCGGCATGCCGTGGTCCCCCCACCTCTTTGTACATACCAGCTCCAGCTTCCCTGTGCTGTCAATCAAGTTGCCTTCTCTGCAGAGCCTTCTAGGTGTGGGGATCTTGCTGTCCTGGATGCTAGGAATTGGCTGCACATTTACAGATCTGGTAGGTAGTCTGAATGTGGCTTCAGTCCTGCATTTTATGAGTAACAACAGGAACAGCGGTTTTCAGATTAGTTTTTATTTGAACCCACAAGTGCATCCATATTTTTGAAAGCTGGGTCTTTGCATGGGGAATTCTGCTGGAGAGAGCTCTGGTTTTCTGATTATGACTCTTATTAGATAAGGAAACAAATCTGGCTTGTAAGAGCAAAGGTTTGGTAGCTGCATTAAGGATCCCCAGTTACTCTTTTTGGAAACTGAACTCAGGCTGCCATTTTCTAGTTTTCTTGCTTCAAGAAAGACTTTCCTGCATCGATTCATCTGCAACTTTACATGCAGAGGCTGCAGGGGTCTGTTCCCTGTTTCATTGTTAGCTCATAATTAAAACACCCTGGGATGGAGATGACATTGTGGCTTGTGACATATTCTTTTTTCTGCCCTCTAACAGATGGCCATACGGATACAGACTCCACAGTTAAAATCGGTGCAGCTGAAGGAAGCAAAGTTTTAGCTGTGGTCCCTCGGCTGGAAAAGTCATACAGGTACCCGTGGCTAAACTTAGAGTGGAATGCACTTCTGGAGGGAACTGAATTCAGTGTTCAATGTCAGACGGAGGCTAGAGGCTGGATTGGCTAGAGGCTGGATTTTGTGTATTCTATTACTCTAGGTACCATTTAGGGAAGACAGAGTAAGAGTTGGGGTGTGTGGTGATAGTTAGAAACTATTGAGGGCGTTAATCTGAGTCACATACCTCAGGTAAGCTTTTGAAGAGTCCCTCTGGTTGTTGTGTTCACCAAGTAAATTGTCCGGACCGGTTACCCCTGACCAGTATGTAATTCTTCCAGAGATTACTGAGAGTTGCTCTCTCCCTGGTTTGTCTAGGTATTATAGAGGGGTGCCCTGTCTCTTACACAGTATGGTCTGCTCAGATAGAATCGTCCAATTCAGAGAAAGAGTTGGAGGGGCAGAGGCAGGCAGGTGACTGGGCAGTGTCAAGGTTCTCTAGAGAAGATTCGCAGGCAGACGGTGAGAACCAGCCTGCCTTGGAAAGGGAAGGAGGCTTTTCAGAACTGGAACGGGAGAGGATGTACCTTGACCCAGGAGAAGCAAGGTGAAAACAGGAGAAGCAAGCAGTCTGTGAAGGCTGGCATTCCCACCATCTTGCCCACAAGCAGCAGGAGCTATCCTGAAGGTAGAGGATAGCTTTGCTGAAAGGGAGGGAAGGAGGGGAAGTTTGAATTGGGATTCCCCTCTTTGCATGGGCAGATACTTCTCTCATCTCTTAGAGAATGCTGCTCTGATTTATATTGTTCTGTATCCAGTGAAGTTCCAAACAAAGGACTGCACTTCTAAGGTTTCATTCTCAGTCTGTGGAAAGAGAGGAAAAAGGGAAATGTTCTGCTGTCACTTAGTATATTTTAGAAAGCTGTTGAGCTGCATGGAGGCAGGGGTAGTTTACCTACCTGACTGATATACTCTGCAAGCAATGCAGAATCTCAGGCTTGGACCCAAATCCAGCCTCCAGGGATCCCCAGTGGCTGTCCCCCTTTCTCCATGCCCCTGTCCCCCAACTACCAATCTTTTGGTGCTTTCTTGGAATTCATCCAATTTCCCCCCCTTTTAAAAAGCGTAAATGCCTCTCCTAAAATAATGCTAAACTATGCTGACATTTCCAATATTTGGGGGGCTTTTGGCTTTTGCCTTCAAGCGCAGCCCCTCTTGCCTTGAACCTTGCCAAACCCCAGAAAATGGCCCTGATGAAATCCTGGCCTCAGACTAGAGGGATTATGCTAGGTAAATAATCTGTGTTTTTGGCCACTGTCGCAGGATTGACTTAAGCGATGAAAAAGAAGAGAGGAATCCATTGTGGCTTCGCCTTGTCACATGGTTGGAAGAGGACCTGTTCCTGGGTGCTAGCCAGGGCCACCTCCCAGCTCACACTGTCCTTCACCATCTGAAGCTGTCCCCATCAGCAGAAGGAGGACATGTTGATATCAGGTACTAGACAGGTCTTTTGGCTTTAGTGTTCATCACAAAACACAAAAGTGTGCTTGTGTTTGTGTGTGTTTCTGGAATCCCAGGGCAAATTTCTGTCTAAATGCCCCTCTGGAATTGGCCAGCTGATCCCTTGCAGCCGCTCTTGCAGTGTCCATGCTGGTGAACATGGAAAGCCAGTTCTTCCAGACCTGCTTGTTCTCACAAGAGCCTGTCTGCCTGTGACTAATGTGTGGAAATATCAACATTGCAGAAGAGCAGCCAGTTAAGATGCACTACTAATGGCACTAGGGAACGCCGACAATGATTCCTTGGGAGATTATTCATCTTGCTCGGCACCTTGGTATTGCTGATGTGCAAAGGGCATGGCCCTGGTGTAAGTTATGGATGTGTGGGATATAATGTGCTCAGTGCAGACTGCATGGGAAGTCAAGTACAGGATTGGAGCCCAATCTGTAAGCTGATGTTCATCTCTGCCTAATAAAATGTTTGGTGTAACTTAGAAGCCTGCACACACACCTCTCAAACTGACAGAACTTGATCCAGCTTAGTAAATGCTCCGTCTGGCCTGTGTTACAGAGTCTCAGTTTCTGAGAATGTCAAGTGTTGCCACTCAAATGTTTACCAAACTTCATTTTTTGCCATGGTGCTTAGATGCCTAAGTGGTTTTATTGTATTGTTTTATTCATTCCCCATATTTGTATCCCTTTGATCTTCCCAGAAGCTCTGGCCAGCGCTCCCATTTTATCCTGTAAAACAGGTTGGGCTAAAATCCAGGAGCTTGCTCACAACTGCCCTGTGATGCTCATAGCTGAATTGAGGGTCTGTATCCAAATCCTCCCCAGCCAAGCCGAACACACTTTTCCCTTTGGGCGCCTTTCTCTGCTTGGCATCATCCAGATGTGTTGGACTACAATGCCCAGCCAATGGGATTAGTGGTTGTGTATGTGAAAAGTAGTAGTTGGACGCCTCTGGAGGGCACCAGGTTGGTGAAGGCTGTACTATATCATACTGTTCTCTGGCTGGGTACCCAGAAGCTTGTATGCATCGGATCGATTTTAACCATCTAGTAGTGCTTAATAATGCGACTCAGTGGGGCTTCTGGGTGGATGTTGTATAACCATGATTTTTAGCAAGAGTTATACAGCTTTAATAGTTGGATTCTTGCCTTGTAAGATTCACTTTAGAAGACAGTCCAGATTCCATTTTGGGCTTCAGGTGCCTACATTTTCCCTCTGCAATAATTGTCTCAAAAATGACTGAAGACTTTTAATGTATTAGGCTTTTAATCCATTTTAATCTGCCGTTTTACCAAGGTTTCTCTTTCCAGATTCATTGCAGGAATAAGATTGGGTCCATTACCATTTTTTCCCTCCCCCAGCATTTTTTTCTTTGCTTTTCTATATGTTCCATTAGGCAACCACAAGGTGGTACAATGGGATAGCAGAACTGCAAAAATACGTGACCATTTTGCCGTGTTTTATAGTGGGGTAGCCCTTTAATAGCTCATTATCCTCTTAAAAAAATAGAAATGTTTAGAAAGCAAGGAGGGGCATCATGTAGAGCACCTACAAAGAGGAATCATGATAGTGCAATGAATGAATGCTTTGTGTAGAGAAGCCCTGAGTGCAAGTTGAACATAGACGGCATGATCAACTGTTTCTCTTTTGTGCATTTTCTCATAGCTCACCTGTGATGGTGGAGGGAGATGTCATTAGCCTGAGCTGCAACCCAAAGACCAAATCAGTGGCTCTGCAACTTTCTGATGGTCGTATAATGAAGTATCTCTGGGGTATGAATGATCACTGATATTCACATCAGTTGGCTGGGCTTTTGACATTGGGAAGTTTAGTCCAGGTGTCTACAGATAAAAAGACCTCTACAGCATGACTGGAAAAGAACCAGGCCTGGGACCTCTGCGAGATGCTGCCAGCCAAAGCAAGCAATACCAAGCTAGATGGACCAGTGATCAGCCTTGGTGCAAGCAGCTTTCTATGTTCAAATGTCCTGAGAACCCATGAGCTGATTTATGAATTATGAGCCCCTGTCACCTTGCCTAATACATTTCACACTTAGTTTTGCAAAATGCTGCAAATTATGAAGCTTTGTATATGGGCTGGATTGCAAAGAATTGTCTGCAGATGCACATTGTGTATAATAGCATTAGATCTTTCTAGAGCCGGAGAGAATGTCAGGTAGACGGCAGGGTTGGTTGCTTTGTTTCTGAAGCTCAGTTTGTCTATTCCACTCGTCTCTTTCTTAGGGCAGTGTATTACAGTTCCCATGGAAAACATGCAGATTGCAGATGCTCACACCAAGGCCTCCAGGGCATTCTTTAATCCAGGGATAGACAAGCTGGTGCCCCTCAGATATCGTGGATGACAGGCCCCATAATTCCTTTGGCCACGCTGGCTGTGGCTTATGAAAGCTGTAGTCTGAAACACCTGAAGGGCACGAGGCTGCTTACCCCTGTTTCTAATCTACTGCTGGAAGGGAGGCCAACCAGAGAGGTCCGCCTGGCGCCGTCGTTATTTGCTTTTCGGCACCAGGCTAAGACCTTTTTATTTAAGCAACATTTTAAATGCTAAATACAATTGAATTTTATCTGGCCAGGGCGGCTTATTTTATAATGTGTGTTTTAATTAAGATTATTTTATATGGATATTTTAACTTATTGTTTTATCTATGTTGTAAGCCGCCCCGAGGCTTCGGCGAATGGGGCGGCATAAAAATGTTTTAATAAATAAACAAACAAACAAACAAACCAGATTGGAAGCTTGGCCTGTCCAGTGCTATTCCAAGATAAGATCCATGGTGAATTATCCTGCCTCTGGTCAACCTGCAATGTAGACCTGATCAGTCCTCTCTGTTATACTTCAGGAGCTGAAACTCCAGTTGTCACCCCTTGGCTAAGTAGCCGTGGGTCCGCAGTCCGGTTTCCCTCTCCATGTATGCAGACTGCACTAGCTGTAGTTGGTGATGAAGTAAGTCAATGAATGAGCACTGGTTTTGCAATACAGGTTTAAAGGAGTTATTCCTGAGTTCATATTTTTACCCATGAAGTTCAGATTGATTGTGATTTTCTGAATATCTAAAGTTTGTAAACTGGCTGTTTTTTGGACTGTTGTCTTAAAAAAGGAACACTAGTCCTTTTAAAATGTATTTTTCTCCAGGTCTTTGAATTCCTATACTATTAGCTTCTTTTGTTTTTTTGAGAATGCTTATTGCCTTTATATATATTTCTCCTCTTACAACAGCTTTTAGCATATATTGTTTTTGTCTTCTTAGGAAACTGTCTTTGGCCTGACTGACAGATGTCGCTTCTTTATTAATGACATTGAGGTACTAACTGTTCTCATGGATCTGTTTCATCTGTTGTCTCTTTAACAAGAAAGATTGCATCACGGCCTAAAGATGGGCTGTTTCTCTGCTTTCCACAGGTTGCTTCGAATGTCACCTCCTTTGCAATCCATAACGAGTTTCTGTTGTTAACCACACACTCTCATACTTGCCAGTGCCTATCTCTAAGGAACACATCACTGAAAGGTATTCATCCTGGCTATGTCTAGCAATAAGGGATACACTGATTGGTTGTTTCTTTCTTAGACCTCTTTTGCATATTACTTCCGTGCGTGTGTGTGTGTGTGTGTGTGTAGCCTGAAGTGTCTGATTCCTGCCTAATCTTGGAAGCTAAGCAGGGTTGGCCTTGGCTGAAATCTGGATGGGTGACTGAAATGTTGTGAACCACCCAGAAAGCTTCGGGTATGGGTGATATAGACATGTAATAATAATAATAATATATATATATATATATAGATGTATGTATGTATGTATGTATGTATGTGTATACACACACACAAACATTGACGGTTGTTGCTTTTGCTTCTTCAGAATGGCTGCTAGTGTTCCTTGATTTTGGTAACTTTCTTTCTCATTCCACCATGCTGTGTTTTCAGAGCATATGCAGCCATATGCACAAATTTTCCCTGCAGCATCATTTTCCCAGACCTACTTGCATGAGAAAAGTGTTTGAGTATCTCCTCCAGTCATGAGACACAGGAACTGTTCAGATATATTAATTCCCAAGGAGAAATCACAACCCTTCCTGACCACGGTAGACTCCACACCTGACCACTCAGCATGGGAGTGGAGTGAGGCAGACTAATGTCCAATCCGGGATGCACTGCATTTATTTGAAAATAACTTTGGCAGAAACCAATGTTATTGTGTTTAATCAAGAAAATACCAAGTTCAGATAAACTCAGCGCAGCATGAATCGATGCCATTTTCTTTCTCTGCCGTGCATGTGCAGGGATTTCTCTCCAGTACTGAATAGCTGAATAGGCTTTGCTTAGCATTTCCTAACATGTCTCTGCTATCATAATGAAGCAAGAACAACTGGTTTAATCTAGGCCCTTCTTACAGCCCTGCAAATATTTCATGGGAAGATGCTGCACTGATGCTGCACTCTTCCATTTATGATACATCGTGCTTCCTCTGTGGAGCTTCACCTGTTTGGTTCCTAGGTGGTCTCAGATGCAAGCAGTTTATAGAAGAAATCCGCTCAGCTTCAGCCACTGAACTTCATTCACGAACCTTCACACCTGTCTCTAGGTTCCTCTATAGGATTTTTACTATGACTTGCTGTCAGCCCCCAATTTTCTCTATGCTTTATATAAACTGTATCTTCTGGATAGCAGAATATCTCTGGGTTGTGTGTGTGTGCCCAGTGGGTGTCCCTCCTCATTCATAAAAGATCCGAATAGAAGCTTTTATTAGGGTCACTGACAGTGATGTTTTCAGCTTTGCAATCAGATTTGGGCAGCGGTTCAGTCCCCGATAGTGAGACACTGCGCAAGATTGAAAGAGGTTCCCGGATAGTCACAATCGTGCCGCAGGATACAAAGTTAATATTGCAGGTCAGTGCTCTTTTTATTTTGGAGCCCAAAGTGGCTAGCTCCAAAGCGGTTCGTTTGTGCCATGGAAAAAAAATTAACATTAAATTAATGAATCATTAAATTATTTAATCATTAACATTAAATTAATGAATCACATCATGCAGTTTTTACTGGAGTGCAGCATTCAGACAGCATGTTGGGCCGATTCATGTCTGAAAGGTTCCCTGCAGGGAAAAACGGCATCTTGGGGTGAGTTGAAGTGGTATCCTTGTTCCTCGCCTGCCAGTCTTGGGGTGGTACGGTGAGCGCATCCTTGCAGTATAGGCCTTGTGCTTCCTAAAGAAGAACAAGGAGAGGCTCGGGTGTCTGAAGAAAACTAGGCGTGCCTTGGGAGAAAATGTCTGGGCATGTGACAGCAAAAAGTGACTCTGGTTTCAGTTCAGAAAAATAGTGTGTCTGAACAGACTTGGCAAATGCCATGTTTAAAGTATTTTCTTCTGATTTGTGTATCTAAAATTCTCCCTTCTGGTTGGTGAGCTCAAGGCAGCTGCCATGAAGCACTTGCACTAAGTGGTACATGGATTGCAGGCCTTCCCCTGTGCTGCAGGCCAAGGATGCCGTGCACATGGTTTCAGGAGGGGTGGCCAAGATCCCACCCTCTGCTGCCAGAATTGATGTCTGTGGGTGTCTCTTATGCAGATGCCAAGAGGAAACTTGGAGACCATTCATCATCGAGCCCTTGTTTTGGCCCAAGTTCGCAAGTGGCTGGACAGGTGAGTCCAAGCAATGGGCTTCCCTGTGTGTGGAGCTTTGGGGCCATGGAGAGAGCCTGTGTTCTGGATCGGTGACTGTTCTGGAACTGACTAGCACCTTTCTTGCTATCCTACCAGCCTCCAGTTTAAGGAAGCATTTGAATGCATGAGGAAGCTGCGAATCAATCTCAACCTCATCTATGACCACAATCCAAAGGCAAGTTTGAGTGAAACTGATGCCATTTTACTCCGATGGCATCGTACGCAGCAGTGATGGAGATATGTAAATAGATGCTTATGGATCAAAGTGTACTGCTCATGCCACTAGTCAGTATGAGGATGAGGTAACAAGGGTATTTGCCCTGGGAGCCACCTGGACATCAAAGATCATGCTGCATATTGAAAGTCCTTCCGGTGGTTCATTCAGTTAAGCAGATCACAGTTGATTAATTGCATGAATTTTAAGTGATCATTCTATCCATTTATTTTTTATATATGTGAATATATAAAAAATTAAATTTTTATATATGTACATTTTTATGTATACCTGAAACAAGAGGCATATTTGTTTCTCATTCCAAATAAATGATAGGAGCATCCCTCTCTCTTAAATGATCAGGAATATTAGTGTATGACCAGATCACACTAACATTAAATAATTCTTTTATCATTTCTGATACATGCAAGGATTGTATGACAATTGCACAGGTTTAGTCATACTAAGTAATCTGCGCTGCTTTTGTGAAAGGGCCATGAAAACCTACTTCTGCATGGAATTTGCAATTGTTTCCTTGTGCATATTAGAAACAAGAATCTGATAAGTTGATGTACAGTTTAACTTTGTTTCATTTCAGGTTTTTCTGGAAAACGTGGAAACATTCATCAAACAAGTGGATTCTGTGAATTATATCAACTTGTTTCTCACAGAGTTGAAGTGAGTATAGCTTAGTAAAACGCTTTCAGTTCAGATGGAGGTTTAAATTAATCCTTCCCTCATATGTAATTTTCATTTTGAAATCTGCACCCCCACAAAGTTTTTCTCTCTCATAACAACAACAGTAAAAATGTTATAAGCTGTCTTCCCACAGCTTCCCTCCCCAGTGATGCTGCTTTTTCAAAAACAGTGTGACAGTAATATTACATGCATTCCATTAGTATGTATTTAGACCCTGAGCAAGTTCTTGTCTTGGAAGTCTTTAGAATACTGAGAGGGGACAAGCAAGATCTCACAAGAGCAGCATAAATGCCACATCTTACAATGAAAACAAACAAAATATTTTTGGCTGGTTTAGGAGCTGGTGTAATATGGAGTCGGAATTGGATATTTTGGATTAAACATATGTTTAAGTTTTGTGAGGACTGGATGAGGGGGGAGTCATACTCTTTATAATATTTATAATACTTTAACATCCATATATTAAAATCTATAAGGAATTCACATTGAAGTACAACATGACAGGATGAAAACTATTCAGCTAAAAAGTATTAAAACAGTGACATTTTCGTAACAAGAAAGCAGGGTAGTAACAGAGCCCCTCACAGAGTGGAGAAAGCCTGTGTGAATAGGTGTGTTTTCCAGGGGCTTTTAAAACTTTGGAACAAGAGAGGTTTGCCTGTCACTTTCTTAGTTTCTTAGGAAGTGGACACCTTTTTTTTTTCCTTTGGGAAGCTTAGCATACAAGTGTTTCCCAGCTGTTTTAATCACTCTTGCTACATGCTATTTATTTATTTATTTATTTATTTATTTATTTAATTAATTTAGGATATTTTTATCCCATCCTGCACAAGCGGCCGTCTCAGGACGGCTTACAATATACGTATGATTATGCTGCATGGATATTAATATTCTGGAGGTACTGAAACCAAACTTTTCTGATATGCTCCTTCCTAGAGAAGAAGATTTCACAAAGACTATGTACCCACCTCTGAATCCTGCCAATGCCTGTGAGCCTCACAGTTCTGACACTAAAAAAGTTGACCTCATCTGTGATGCTATGAGAACGGCGATGGAGAACATCAATGCTTCCAAGTACTTGGCATAGGATTATAGAATATCTCTGTAGATAAGACTGTCTTCTCACCATTTTAGTGTGAACAGAGGCAGAACCCAGGGCTGTGTAGGTTAGGTCTGCCTCTTGATAGCTGGGGTTACCAGATCTCCCACTGCTTTTCAAAGCAGTTCTGGAGTAAGAGTTGTGAGGAAGGAAGAAATATCTTCCACCACCCACCAGAGCTCCTAGAAGCTTGGCTCTGAGCTGGTTGGAAAGGAGCAAATGGAGCTTTGGCTTCACGTGTGGGTGCTTGCTTTGGACTTTCTTAAGCCTTGGAGGTTGTATCTGTTTGGGGAACCAGCCAGCAGAAATAGGTTTGGAAATTAAGCCTGGCTGTTCTGCTCCTTCCTTTCCAGTGACCTTAGTGACCGGTGCAAGAATGCCCAGCCTCACTTCTTCACTATGCCATTCAGTCATTCAGAAAGTAGTGGATGGGACTGGATTCAACCAGCTTTTCCATTTACGCCATGTGTGGGGTGATGAGAGTTGGAGTTATCTCCGTTTCTCTCTCCCCCTACACCCACTTTTCTGCCCATCAGACTTAATAGGCCTTTCATTTGTAACCATAGGAAAAGGGGAGCTGTGTCTTCCCTCAAAAGGGGTGTGTTTAATTAGGGAGAAGAGATGTTTTTCCAAGCACACAATGGGTGAATTTGATTAGCAAGAAGAGGCAGTAGCTCTGTGCAAATATTCACTCTCCTCAGATGAAGGCCCCACCTCCAGCATCTCCATATACTAGATTCCCAACCTTCCCAATTTGAGTGGCAAGATCTGGAGGAGGGGGTACACTCACTGCTTTCATTTTCTTGACTGCAAAAGCCTCTGTGCAATCGGGAGCCCTCCTTGGATCCTTCCTGTCAGCCGTTGGGGATGGGCCTAGTTCTATTCCATCCTTTTAGCCCTGAACAGCAGGCCAAGCATTTGTATGAGGTTAGAGTTTTTTGGGAAACAGAAAGTTCTCTAGGTGTATCACTGATGTCTGTGGTGTTAAAGGGCTGCCTTAGAGTAACATGCACCAACTGATGTGTGTAAGTTATTGTTATTTTGTGTATACCGTGTCATGGGAGTACAGCCCAGCCTCCCATGAAAGGCTTACATATTTTGACTTCTCCCAACATTCTTTGGATATTTTTTTCTAAAGAGGAAATTCAAAATTTTCTAGTCCCACTTGAGATTGGATCTGTAGAGAAGTTGCAAAGCTCTGCTTCTGAGAAATTCTGCTCATTCCATCCACTCTCTCTTTTGGCTTCCTTCAAAAATCCTTAACTGCTTTTCTTGAGATAAAATTCCCACATTTTATTTTGTATTCCCGCTTTGGGAGAAACTTCAGTAACACCTCCCCCATGAGTAAAATCTTTGTCAGGAGAGAAATAAGGAAGCACCCAAAGTCACCATTTTTAACACTTGCCTTTTCTTCCTGGCGTCTTTAGATATTGTTTGTCTATACTGACCTCTTATGTGAAAAAGAGTCCTCCAGAACTGGAAACTGTCCTGCAGAGAATTCGTGAACTTCGAGGTGCAGTATTAAGGTTGCATGAATTTTTAGATATTAAGCAATTTAGTGCTGACTGGGGAGGGGCTGAATGCCCTTTTAGATAGCACTGGCAAATACAGCTGGAAACTCTCCGAGAGTTTGACCAAATACTGGCCTGATGTTTCTCAAGGTGCTTCCAGAGAAGGCTTTTATTGCTCAGTTGTCCTGCCTCAGGCACTGAATTCCACAAGGGAATCAGCTTCTCATGTTTAAGTACCTCCCTGAAAGGAAAATGGGCTCCTGTCTCTCATCTTCCACTTGGACAGGTGCACCCAGATGAGAAGCAATGCCCTCAAGCTGTGATCTGAAGAAAATGGGGATGGGCATAGAAGCCGCCTGTGGGCTGCCGCTTGGCAACCCTTGCTCTACGCCACCTCCGTTACTTCAGGAAAAAATCTCCTTTTGATATATTTACCATGTTCCTGCAGTTACCATGGGGAGAGGAACCACTGCATCACCTTCATTTAATATCTTTTTAAGTAACATTCTCCTGCGCAAGGCGATGGTTTTTTTATTATTATTATTATTATTATTACAGCATTTCTATGCCGCCCCTTGCCGAAGCCTCGGGGCGGCTTACAACACAATAAAATACATTGAAGTACAATAGAACGTAATAAATTACCTCCAATTACATAAATACAAAGAATATGCTGGGATACCCACATAATCATAATCATATAAAGTTAAAATTAACAGTATAGAATAAGTGAATAAAGAATATAGGAGGAGAATAGAGAAGGAAGAAGAAGTTGCCCTGGCCAGATTATATATTTTAACAATTAAAATGATGTTTAAATAAAAAGGTCTTTACCTGGCGCCGAAAAACAAGTAACGACGGTGCCAGGCAGACCTCTTTGGGGAGTGAATTCCATAGGTTGGGCGCCACCGCAGAGAAAGCCCTCCTCTGAGGGCTTACTCTCCTAATTTCTTTCATGGAGTTCCCGGAGAAGGGACTCTCCCGCAGATCTCAAGGGGCGGTCGGGCATATACGGACGTAAGCGCTCGTTCAGGTAGCCAGGACCCAAGCCGTTTTTTATATCATCAGCCTGTGGGGACAATACTTGTGAAACAGGTAAATGATTTGGTGGAAGGCTGCCCTCCTTTGTCTAGCTCGGGGGGCTCATCTGTGGCTGCTTCTGCAAGTGACCTGCAGATTTTTAAAGAAGAGTATGTTTGCACTTCAGAGCAAGCACCAGTAACTGCTGGGTCCGTCAGTGCAGAAGAAGCTCTGAAATATTTGCTATATCATGTGAACGTCAGTGAGTTGTACGATCATTCGCTGGGAACGTATGACTTTGATTTGGTCGTCATGGTTGCTGAGAAGTCTCAAAAGGTAATTCCTTGTGTTTTGTTTCCTCATTGTTCATATCTTATATACTCACCACTCCTAGTTGTTCAAAGAAATTCGGTAGACTGTAAAATACACTTGAGAGTTGTCATCCCCAACCAGGTTACTCAGCATCCATAAATGCACCAACTGGTCTATTTTGTGCAGTGTTTACATGTCGCATCTGCTTCCCAGTGCTCATTTTTCTTCTTTCTTTACGCACACTGCCATTTAATTGGATCGTCTATGAGTGTGTGTGTATTAGTGTTCATGCCATCCTGTCAGAAATAGCATCATGACATCAACAAAATCATGCCTGGCCTTGCAATTGAATAAAATGGCAGTCTGGACAAAAGAGGTTGAGGACTGTGAGGGCGGGAAGGGAGAAAAAACAGTGCAGAGAACAGCAGCAGAACAACATTTGCAGCAAATGCAGGATGTTGGTGAAAGAGGAAGATGTCTTTTGACTTACAAGCAAATATAAAAGGAAGCAAATAGCATCAGCCCAGATCTAGCGAACAGCTTTTAGGAGCTAACTTTAATTGATGCAGAAGTAGGTGAGCTATTAGGATCTGAATCAAATGATGCAGCCATGGTGGGTTGTCGTGTTGTCCAAACCCAGGACAATTTCTTCAGGGTGACTTCATTTTCCTGAACTATTCACTGTCAAAGTCCAGTCAGCAGGAACTAGGCAACAGGGCCCAAGGCAAGGCACAATCCAGCAGAAGTACCAGAGACAGACAAGCCAAAGTCCAGTAAGAAACCGGAAGCACAAACATAGTCAAGGAGCAGTCCAAAAGTGAAATACCAGGAAGTCTGTCTGTCTATTTATTAGAGCTGCATAAAAGCCGCTCATTAGCATTACACTCTCTGGGCAGCCATTACAATAGAAGTGTCACTTAACATTAACTAAAATAGTACAATTAAAATATAGTAAATAAATGAGAGAAAAACACAATGTGTATAATCAAGTCAAAACATAAATTAATATATTAAAAACCAGTCAGTCAATATAGATGGTCTAAGTAGCACCATAGGTTTCCAGGAACAGCTGTGGAGTCGCTTACCAAGAGCAGGAGAAGTCGTCGTTCATCTTGCTGAGAGCACGCGAGCCACTGTCGGTGATGGCCACTCCACTACATGTTCAAGTAGCAACTGTCAGTAGTGCTGTTCTCCTTTTTCCTGGTCCTGTGTATATTTCCTTGCCAAAAAACATTTGCCAGAGGGTTTTAAAAGGGAAGACCTTTCTCTTGGAAGCTGTCAGAAGAAGTGTCCATGCAAAGAGTGTAGTTTTGTGATCCTCATTTTTCTGAGTGGCTGAGGACACAGGAAAGTGAGGAGAAGATGGGGCACTGGGAACCATGGGGGAAACACTAAAAGCGCTGAGGCCACCACTGCAGGAGATGGGGGGAGGAGCTGCTGCTTCCTTTTGCAAACAAAGATCTCCCTTTGATGGCGATCAAGCAAACAGAAAGTAATAAAATGATCTGTTTGCAGGCTCTCCAGGTGAGTACCCTGGTTGCTCTTTGACGGCAAGCCGTTAATAAGGACATTTTCCCAGCAAGACTTGCCATTCTGCAACTTGGAGTTGTGCAACTCTGGAAAATTTCTCCCCCCCCACAAAAAAAAAAAAATGTGGTGAAAGACTGACAACCCTTCCAGTGTGCTGCTTGGGTGCTTTGGAAGGGCTGTCCATAGCTATTGCTTTGGCAGTGGTGAAAAACAACCTCCAAAGAAAGCAAAAAGGGGGAAAAGCTGCACTGAGTGCAGAAGGGCTCATGCTGGTGGCAAGGAGAGGGCAAGCTGGCTTCAGTTGTCAAGCGCCCTGGGATACCTCCTGGTGGAGCAAAGGGGAAGGAGTGCAAGGGCAACCCACGGTGACCCTGATCATCTGTCAGATGCCCTGTGGGTTGTTCAGCAAGCTTTTCAGAACTTGTGGCAAGTTATTTTTCTTGCAGGATCCAAAGGAATACCTCCCATTTTTAAACAAGCTTAAGAAGATGGAAATCAATTACCAGCGATACTCTATAGACAGATATTTGAAGAGGTACCCAAAGGCTCTCCACCATCTCAGCAAATGTGGTAAGCACACGGGAGAAAGACTCTCTTGGAAGGAAGCTTCCTTTAGCAACACCCTACCTTTTCTGACAGCAGTAAGCATGGCCTAAAATGAGGGCAGCTCTCTATTTTGCAAGTGTTGCACAGTCCCTGCCACTGGAGGGGGCCGAACCAGCACATGCTGCAATCCTTGGGCAGCCTGCCATGCTTGGGGATGCACCTGCCTTGCCGCAACATCCTTACCTCTTCTCTCCTACCTTTCATATTTACTATCACGAGATAAATCCTGTGTCTTTTTTCAGAGGCAGTCATTTTTTTCTCGCCTTTTAGCACCTGAATATCACCTGTTAATTTATTCATAGTGTCCGAATCCGAGACACTTTACTAATCATTCCTTTATTGGTGCTTTTCCAGGCTCACGACACTCAAGGTGATACTGTACGATGTAGTCTAAAACCCTATAGAAAGTATCAGTGATGCTAAAGTACAACAGGAAAAAACAAAAGAAATCGCATGACAGCAGAGTTGGACAGAAGGGTTAGCAAATAATGTTTTCAGTTGCTGGTGCAAACATTTGTTTGTGGGGGCGGCTTTTTGCCCCCGTACCTGCTGGCTGCATGACAAGAGGGGGAATGCCTGCCCTGGTAGAGTCTCGGCCAAGGCAGCTACTTCAATCATGAGGGCGACCAGTGCTCAGGGGAACGCCCACTGTTACAATTATTGTGTTGAATGAGAAGTCATCAGCATTAACAGTGGGGGTTCCTCTCTTCACAAACCTGCAGGGGTAACAGGCCTAGGGAGGGAGCAGAAGCCCCTGCAGGGTAGATATGGATTGGATGAGGCTTGTGAGCCAGAAGTTCATTCCCCATCCATGCCCTGTAATGAGGTATCTGCCTAATTGTAGGGGAGGGGTGAAATTTCCATAGCTTGGATAATAGCTGCAGGATAGATCCTAAAATTCAGCGCACACAATCTAATGAAAACCAGGTACAATCCAGGCAAAATACTCTCGACAGTGGAGAGAATCAAGTCTTGAAATCTTGGCCCGGATGCTTGGATCTCACCCAGGAGCTATACTCAGATACAATACTAAACCATGGTTTTCTGAAATAGCTGCAAATGTCAGCATGCAAGCCACTGCAAAAACTGGTGATCAGACCATGCCTTGAATCTGTTTTGCAAACCAAATCATGTTTACTCGAGCCATTTTGTACCCGCTGTTGTTTGCTGCTATAGCTGAAGGTATAAATAATCATGATGATGATGATAATTAATAATTTCATTTCTGTAGTACCCCATAGCTGAAGCTCCCTGGGTGGTTTACCACAAAGTATTAAACAGTAAAATGCAATGCAAATAACATAAAATAACAATGTGAAAAGAATTTAAAATTAATTTAACAGCTTAAAATACAGTAAAAATATGGTAAAAAGACCTAGGAGGAACAAAAGCACTGAGATAATCTCCTCAGACCCCTGGATAACCAAGGAGATCTCTAAAGACATAGAGGGTTGTCTTGGCCTGGTGCTGAAAAGATGGCAAATTGGGCACCAGGCAGGAGGTTGTCCCGAAGAGGCGGGGCGGGGGGGGGGCAGCAGCTGAGCAGCTACAGTCAGGGCTGTTACTTGGCCGCAAGAGGCTGCTGCATCATGAAGACAGGACTGAATTTATAAAGCCAAGTTCCATAGAAGGAAAGTAGAAGCAGCTCTATGGTTTGGTTTGCCTGTTCTACGTCTAGAAGCCCATACAGTCGCATGGGCTCTCAACTGTGCCTAGTACATATGATTACTTGGTGTGATATCTAAATTAAGCCAATATTATGAGGTTTTTTTCCCTTCTTGTTCACCCAGAATAGTCAGTTGAATGGATGATTAATCTGGAACTGAATAACTATAGTTAGCCTTTCCCCTGAAATGCCTGGCACTATTACTTGATCCATTGGCTCTGTGAGAAATAAGGTGTTTACATTTATTCGCCGGCAGCTAAAATATTGTGCTGTGGTACCACCATTCTCCTATCCAGACCCCATCCTGGCAAGTCCAGATTGGCTCATGCCAGCCTGTGCAGTGTTTTGCTCTCATATAGCCAGCATGTGTGTTGTTTTTCTTTCAGGACCGGAACATTTTTCAGAATTCCTGAACTTGGTAGTGGATCAGAACTTGTATGGTGAAGCTTTGAAGCTGTATCCGCCAGACACTCATGAGTACAAGGTGCGTGTGGAGGACTTTTCTGTGTATCTTTATTCATAGGCTTCAACCTGTGAGAACAGTCATTCATTCATTCATTCATTCATTCAAAACTTTTATATGCTGTCCCCTCATGCCTCGGCATGCAGTACTTCACTGATAAAAGGCATGTTGTGGGCCCTGTTGGCTCCATGTTGGCAGGTAATTTACACCAAACCATTTCAATTAAGATTCAGGGATCTTTTTGGGTGGCGGGTCGGGGAAAAGGTAAGCGGCTCTCGCATGAAGATACACTTTGTAGCTTCTTGATGTGTCTTCTTTAACTGGAATTGTTATTGTTAATGATTTTTCAAGCATCCAGAAGGTTGAGTATGGAATCGCTTGCCCTAAGCTAGCAGCTTTCAAGCTGTGCTCCATGGATCCCTGGTGTTCTTTATAAAGTATTGGTGGGGTGTAGGAAGGTTCCTTGCTGAGAAACCCAGCAAGAGAAACTCTGACGCAAATGCGCCAGAAGGACAGCGGTTCCACCCAGTAGTCCCAGACTTCTCCTGCAACTCGCTGCTGCTGCCGCCTGCATACCTGGGGCAAGAGAGAGACTCAAACCCACCTGGGCAGTCTCTGCAGGAACTGAGTGCACTCTTGAGAACATTTTGCAGATTCCACTGCTACAGGCAAGACAGGTATGCTGCAGTTCCTTGGGAAAGCAGTAGGGATGAAGGAACAATCACGCTGCAGATTTATGTCTGCTCCAACAGCTACCTGTAAATCCCTTGAATCTGTTTGGCTAAAGTGGGATATTCCACCTATTGCATCTAGTAAACCCTCTGATCACATCCAAACGGCAACCTCTCCCCCTGCTCCTTTGCTCATGTTTTTTGTAATGACACATTGCAGACAGTCAGCTATGCCTACGGGGAATACTTGATCCAGAAGCATCTCCCTGAGCAAGCAGGGCTGATCTTCTTCCGCTGCGGTGCGTTTGAGAAAGCCCTGGATGCCTTTCTGATCAGTGGCGGCTGGCAGCAGGCCCTCTGTGCTGCAGCTGAGCTCTGTTACACCGAGGATAAGCTGGCCAGCCTAGCGAGGAGCATGGCAGGTGAGCATCCCCCTACATACGAGCGATGATTTGGGGTTCCCTTTGAGCTTCTATGTTCTTCCCACAGCTTGGCCTCTTGAATGTTATTTTTGGATTATTCTTATGAGGTATAAATTGCTTCTCCCCGAAAAGATCCAAGTAATCTTTTTGTCTTACCCCGTAAGATAAAAGGGTATATAAAAATAAAGATCTAAACATATGATCTAAATTTCAACAGAGAGGTGGACAGAAAGAGGAGTGCAAAAAATACTAGCAAGTGCATTTAGCCTTACTTCATTTCGGTGGCTTGCAGTCAGGTTTGTGTGTGTGCATATGTGCGTTGTGTGTGCGATCTCAAGTCTGCACAGCTCGGGACACCCAAAACCAAATATAGTCTGCCAGCCACATAAGGCACCCCAGTCAGGGCTCTGTAAATCACAGCTGGCTGGGTAGGAACCTGGTTTCATGAGTCTAAGGAAGCATTTGACTTGCCCTCTTCAAATAGCAGCCTTGATAAGCCATTGACAGATGTTTCAACACCAGTGACCAGATTTGCACAACTGTTGGGAAAGGATGCCACTGTGGCTTCTTTTTCCTCCCCGTGTGTGCTGGCTGCACTCACTGCAATTGAACTAATTACTCTAAAGGCACTTGGCTTGCTGCACCATCCTGTGTGCAGCAGGATGGTTTTGAAAGCACCTTGGAAAACTACAGCAAGCTGCAGCACCTCCCACCGAGCATCTTGCTGGTCCAGGTGACACGGTAAGCTGTGCACTGTGAGGTTCATTAGGAACAGCCATGCCCTTCTGGTCCGGCACATGAGGGTGGGGCAAAGAAGCCATCTTGGCTTCTTTCCCTGATAATTGTGCAAGCCCAGTGAGTCTGTGTGACATGGCCTAGGATTTGGGTGTTCAGAGAGAGAGACTGTGTTTCTGCAAAAGATAAGCCATGATAGCTTATGAGCCAGGACATTTTGTTACATTGCAACATGGCTTATTAACCACTCTGGCTAGGTTCAGGCACCATGGCAAGCCAGCCCGGCTTATAAGCCACCATGGTATATCATGTTATAAGAACTTGGTCAAGGACACACGTCCTGCTGAGCTAACACAGATGGCCCTGCAGAACAAGGCAGGCCTTTGGATCCCAGCCCATCCGTGTCTCCTGCCTGCCTTGAGGCTGCAAAGCTGGGAGGATCACCAGGCTCCCTCCAGGTGATGCTGCGAAAGCTGGGCTACACTTGACTTGCTGGCTCATACGCTTAGGATGAAGTCAAAGTAGGGCACCTCTGCATTTATCTTTGAAGAAAAAATTGGCACGCTTTTTCACCCATACGATCACGGAGAATAATTTAACAATTATTTTCTGTTGTAAATTTGAGCCTTTTCAGGTGATACTTTTGCCCTCTCGCTTCTGTCCAGGAGGATGATTGGAACAGGCCTTGGGCCTGCGCATTCTCAGCCATAAGAGCATAGTAGCCCTGCTGGGTCAGCCCAAAAGTCTTTCTGGTCCAGCATCCCACTTCCTGGTGGCCTCCAGGAAGCCCACAAGCCAGGCAGGAGGGTGGTAACCCGCCCTAGTGGTCACTCCTCAGCACCTGGCATACTCGGGTATGGGCCCCTCCACTGTCCTCACTGTGGGTAGAATGGGCACCTGCTCATTCATTTGCCACTTTCACCCAGAGGAAGGCTGGGGGTGCAAAAGCTTGAGGACCATTCAGTCTCACCATGCTAAGAATCTTGGCAACGAGTGACAACAGAACAGGCCCTTGGAACTCAAGAGGAGTTTTTGAATGAGAAGCATCCTGTAGTCAAAAGCAAGACTTCATCGCAACTGTCCAGCCCCCTCTGCTTTCTTTCAGCTTTTGCCCCAGCTATTTGTTCTCCAAGGCTTTTCCTTCTGTCCGTCCATCCTTCCCTGGCTGCCATTCTACATCTTTCTCTCCTCCTCCCTATTTATGCTGAATTTTTTGCAGCCTAAATAAGGGAGAACAAGAATTGATCTATGATTTAATTTGCATACCTCTGTGCAAAGAAGTTGTGGTTGTTATAGTATGGAATTGATATGCTGCTGGGTCACACAGCCTTGTATGCAGTTCATATTGGGATGCATTTTTTGTTATTTTTTTGCATTGGGAAGGACGACTTGATAAAATCACCTACAGCTAACCTGATCTTATCTTTGGGCTAGTTTCTTAATTGCTGGAGAAGGCAGAGTTTTGTCTAACCCACAGTATATTAAGTAACACTTCATCAGATGGTTTCCTTTTTCCATTTCCTTTTCCTGATGAAACTTTCTCTTCTTTCAGGGAGATTTGTTGAAAAAAGGAAGTATACTGATGCAGCAGTACTCCTGGAGCAATATGCTAAGGTATAGCCCCCATTATCTCCCCCCCCCCCCCCCACACACACACCCTGCTCTGCTGCTCCTCATGCAAAGTCCCATCCTGGAGCTTTCTACCGTCATGTCTCTCCTTGCGCTGTCAGCATGGGTTCTAAAGGAAGTGGCAGCCACATGTTGGATCTCAGCTCTAGCAACCAAATTGTTATCCAACTTTGTGAGAAATTTCCCTGAAGTTCCATTAATCTTCAGGTTATATCACCTTAAAGACTCTCCACATTTTGGGTGCTTCCAAGTGAGGCTTTTAGAGTGCAATTGCCCTGGTGCAATTGCAGAATTTTATGAAGACCTAAATGACCCTTGTTTTCCATTTTCTGTTTTCCCTTATTTTCCCACCGTGTTTATTAGCACAGAAAATCTGTCCAGGAGCAAAAGACTAAATAGGTGCACAGCAACTCTTGACTTGGTGCTGAAAGTCCTCTGTCGGGAAGCAACCCTCGTTCCATTTGCTGGTTTGGATTTTGGATGGAATGGTCTGTCTGTGTCTGAGGAGAGGTTTCATACTGGTGAAGTCCTAGTTGTTAGATGGGCCAACTCTACTATGGAGCTTTCCATCTCTGAGAGAGTCCCTGTTTGTGCCGGCAAGCTATATTTGCAGCCCCTGGTCCCCTAGCTGAAGAGTACAAGCACTGCTTTAATAGAATGGTGAGGCATAAAAGAAAGATAAATAAATCAAACACGTGGTGTGGATGTCAGGTAGTGTTTTCACTACAGAACAGGATGAGGGAAGTTACTAGTCCAGTGGACACCTCCCTTCCCTATTATGGTGACTTGATGTGATGGTTGATTAACCAGCAGAACATCCCTGAATGCTTCATTTCCCTCCTCTAGGATTATGAAGAGGCTGTTTTGATCCTCCTAGAAGGAACTGCCTGGGACGAAGCCTTGAGATTAGTAAGATCCTTAAAACCATTCAGCCTTTTCTATTATCTCCATTTTTCACTTGATAACAGTGGTGGTGTAGATTTTCCTCTCTTTAATCTTTCCCTCCTCCAGATCTATAAATATAATAGGACTGATATCCTAGAGACCAACTTCAGACCATCTCTTTTAGAAGGTAAAGTGGTAAATTTTCCCAAACTTGCTAACTTACAACTGGTGTGCTCTTGGATATATAGGTTTAATGGAATTCTGGGAGGGAGTACCAAGTTCCGGGCCCTGGGGGAAAATGCTATAGGTCTGAGATTAGCTAGGATTTTTCTATGCTTCAATCTTAGTGTGCCAAAATAGTATGCCATTACAGTTCTTTCCAGATTGTACCTCTTCGGACAACAGATGAGGAATTGTGGACTCAAACATTTCCCTAATCTAAAACTATCCTTCTTATGCATAAAAAATTGAATATCTGAGAGAAGGCTAGAACATAGTTTTCTGATACGCTAGCTTTCCATGTGCAAGAGTTGTGGGGCTGGTTGGTATGTGTTCCTGTTGGAACACAGGAAGAATTCAGCTTGACAACTTGGCTAAACAAACTGGGTTTTCTTGCCTTACGCAAAATTTTGAATATGCTTCGGTACTTGCAGTGTGTCAAACCTTTTCCACTCTTTTTACACATGTAGCCCAAAAAAACCATTGGATATTCCTGGAGAGTCAGAAAGCTGCATTTTCTCACCATCATAAGCGCCTCTCTGTGGTCCGAGAGTTAAAGCAGCAGGCCCAAAAGGAGCTGTTGGGTATGTGTTAGAAGTGAATCAAGCCTCATGTGCCTAATTAGTAGAGCAATATTTTGAGATTATTTATTTATTCCACTCCTTTCGAAAAGACTAGGCCAGTGGTGGCGAACCTATGGCATGTGTGCCACAGCGGGAACGCAGGTCCCTCTCTGTTGGCACGCAAGCCAAGTCACCAATGCATGGCCCCAGCAGCTGCACATTGGATGAGAGCGCGCATAGGGGGCCACGCGCATGTTTGAAAAGGAGTGGTGGCCCCAGGGGATGAAGTCACGAGCCGTGCCTCATTAGCCACGACTCGTCCAAGCTTTCGGATGACTTCTCAGTGCGCTGCCAAGGATATATGTATATATTTGGTTGGACTGGCTGTGGGTTGTTGTGTCTAAACTTAACCCTCAGTTTTCAGGATTTATTGTAGTGTTGCCTCTTTGTGATAAATAAGTGGGTTTTGGATTGCAGACTGGGCACTCAGTCTCCAAAAGGTTCACAATCACTGGGTTAGGGTTCGAAAAGCAAGGTGAACAGGTATGATTTTGACGGTTGGAATGAATTTAGAATGGACACAAATGATCAGCTGTGCAGAAAAAGCTACTCAAGGAATGCTTTTCCAAAATCATCCGCTTTTCAATGGAACTTTAATCCTATATCAGGATTAAAGGTGTGTACCAGGGTAGCATTAGTGGTCAGAAAGAGAGGTGTCCTGGCATGGTATTGATTGTTGCAATGAGTTCAGAATGGGCAGAAATGATGACCTGTCCAGAAAAAGCTACTCAAGGAAGGATTTTTGAAAATGGCCCTCTTTCAATGGAAATTTATCCCTTTGTTAGAGTTAGGGGTGTGTCCCAGGGTAGGGTTAGGATTCAGAAAACGAGGTGTCCTCGCATGGTTTTGATCGTTGGAATGTGTTTGGAAAGGGCAGAAATGGTGAGCTGTGCAGAAAAAGCCACTCAAAGAAGACTTTTTGAAAATCGCCCTTTTTTCAGTGGAACTTTACCCCTGTATTAGGGTTAGGGATGCTTCCCAGGGTAGGGTTAGGGTTCGGAAAACGAGGTGTCCTGGCATGGTATTGATCGTTGGAATATGTTTAGAATGGGCAGAAATGGTGAGCTGTGCAGAAAAAGCCACTCAAGACTTTTTGAAAATCGCCCTTCTTTCAGTGGAACTTTACCCCTGTATTAGGTTGAAATTTTTTATTTAAATAAAAACATACTACAAAGGTACAAAAAGGCCCAAAAATTGCA